CCTCATAGGGGAGGTGCTCCAGTCCCCTGATCATCTTTGTGGCTCTTCTCTGGACCCTCTCCAACAGTTCTGTCTTTCTTGTATTGGGGGCCCCAGACCTGGACGCAGTACTGCAGCTGGGGCCTCAGGAGGGCAAAGTCGGGACAATCACCTCCCTGTCCCTGCTGCCCACCCCTCTTCTGATGGAGCCCAGGATACCATTTGCTTTCCGAGCCTCAAGAGCACACTGCTGGCTCATGTTCATCTATCAAGACCCCCAGGTCCTTCTCCACAGGGCTGCTCTCAAGGACCTCTCCTTCCAGTCTGTAGGGATGCTTGGGATTCCTCCGGCCCAAGTGCAAAACTCTGCACTTTGCCGTGTTGAACCTCATCAGGTTCACCCAGGCCCACCTTTCCAGCCTCTCGAGGTCCCTCTGAATGGCATCCCTCCCTTCCACCGTGTCAACCGCACCACTCAGCTGGGTGTTGTCAGCAAACTTGCTGAGGGTGCACTCGATTCCATCATCGATGTCATTGATAAAGATGTTACAGAGCACCGGTCCCAAGTCAGATCCCTGGGGGATAAATATCACCCTGCCCTTCTGCTGCCCCTCTCTGCACCCGGGGGGTATTTGTAGACGTGAAGCAGGATCCCACGGTGACTGACAGGCACACGTGTGCAGACGCAGAGCCCTAGTGATGTGCCGGTGTTTGTGAACAGACACCCCTCTCCTCGCAGAGCCCGCATTCCCTTGTAGGATGTTTGCCGCTGCTGGAGGCCCTCCAGCAGTACAGTACGGCTGCAAAGGGCACCAGGTGGCAAGGCCTTGCACTCAGGGTGGGATCCTGTTGCGTTGAGCTCACCCGTCTTATGAAAGCAAGTTATTTTTTGATCTGCTGCTGAGCATCAAAGTCTTCTGGGCGAGCGAGCCAAAGCAGTGCGGTTTGCCGGCTGCAGCAGGCGGGGGTCTCCTGGCCTCATGGGTCAGCTGGAGCCAGCGGCGGGGCTGGGGGCTGCAGAGGGGAGTGGGGGCCCCGTGGTGGGCATGAAGCTGCTGGGCTCAGCCCTGCACTCCTGCAGTGCTAACAGTTGCGTTTGTCTGCGTTTCAGAGCCGGGGATGGAGATGACTGCTGCCTCTGAGGGAGGCACCCGCCAGGGGCCGGTAAGTGTTGGGGGCTGCAGCTGCAGCTCATTTCACGGTGGGGAAAGGGACAGCTCTGCTTTTGGAAATTCTGCTCAGTGCTTCTGCAGAGCGCCAGCACTGTGCCCTGGGCAGGGGTGAGAGGCTGTGAGGCTGGTGGGGTTGCAGCACAGAGCTGACTTCACCCATAACAGCTCTGTGCAGCTCCTTGTGGCTGCCCATCAGTCTCTGCATGCTGCCCACCCTCAGCACCCTGCAGCAGAGATGGCCTGGCCAGCTGCCCCGGCCCCCTCTGCTCGCTGCCAAGCCAGCAGCAAGGGACCTTCACTGGGTGCTGGATCTGCAACACTGAGCCCTGTGTTCCCCGTGCCATAACTCTTTCATTTAATGAGGAGGAGAGTGGGAGTAGGGAGAACACTTTTTTCCTTCTCCTCCTCCTCCTCCTCTTCATCATTTGTCCCTGCAGGTGTCCTGGCAGCTGCCTGCAGAGCAAACCCATGTCTCTCCCTGTTTCTCACTGCTTTGCAGTGTCTGTATATATAAGCAGAGTTCAGTCCCCTCCGTTCAGAGGCATTTCTGAGCCAGAGTTTCTGCTGAGCCGTTGGCTGTGTCCTCAGACAACCAGCAGGGTATAAATACATTGCTGGGCCAACAGGTGCCCACGGCCAGCGGGTTTCCATGGCCCTGAGCACAAACACAGTGCCAGTGCTAGTGCAGCTGCTGCGGGGCTGCACTCACGGCAAGCTTATGGAAGTAGGCACAGCCAGAGCCAGCCAGCAGCACTGAGCCCTGTGCTACTGCACGGGCAGATGACAGACTGCATCCAGGTTCTGTTTTGTGTGCCTTCCATCTGGTGTCCTAATCTAGCATCCAACCTTGAAACAAAGACTGCTCACCCAAGGCTAGGCAGCTTTGGGAAGAAATGCATCCCACTGCCCAAACTCTGCCCCCAGGTCACATCGAGCCCTGAGCTGCCAGCAGTGTCTGTACCCTGCCAAGAGAAATAAAGTGGATGGTCTCTTAAACAATGCTGCCTGGTGTTGTCTGCAGTAACACGGAAAACATGGGCTTGTGATAAGAGATGGTGTAGACATATGGGAACAGCCCCAGCTCTCCCCACTTGCAGGCTGTCCCGTAGCTGTGTCAAAAAGACAAAGCTCTGTACACGTGGGGACAGGAGGGTGGCACATGGGGTGATGTTGTGCCATGGGAAAATGAATGCTAGGATCTCGGTGAGCCTCTGTCACAACAGCCCAAAACTGCCTCTCCTTAACTCAAGAGTGATGATGGGAAAATGGAAATTTGAAACATTTCCAGCTATTAAGTGCTTTTGCATTTATTTTTGGCCAATGAGATGCTCAGGCTGCCTGTGGGGGCTGTGCTCTGTAACTCTTCCAGGAAAATAAGCATGAAGAGAAAGTGCAGGATCCTGACAGAAGGGAGGCAGAGACCAAGGCAGAGATGGGGAACAAAACATGGGCAGACCTGGCCGGGGAGATGAAGACTTTCCTGTGGAACCCAGAGGAGAGAACCTGCATGGGGAGAACAGCCAAGAGCTGGGGTAGGTCCTTGTTTGAGCCCCATTTTCAGCAGCCATTGCATTTTCTGCTTCACAGTGGATGCACTTGCCTGGGAATGTCCTTTCTAGCTCTGACCGCTGCTCTGTTCAGACTGCTAGGGCTGCACATTTGAGGGGAGCAATAAAGCCAGTGAGTGGGGGGTGTGAGGATGAGCAGAAAATCACCCTTGGTCTGGATGCCAGTATTCATCCAGAACACATAAAAAAGACTTCAGGCTGCCCAGAGTATGTCCTGGGTAGGTATGAAGAGTCCAAGGGAGTACAGGGCCTGGCCCTGCTGCAGCCACCACCTGGCTCCTACCACTGCAAGTGGGGAAGAACCCCTCACCTGGCAAGTTGCCTGGGAAAGGCCCATCCCTCTTCACGTCCCATCCCCATCCCAGTCCCCATCTTGGTCCCCATCCTCATCCCTGTCCCCTTTCTGTTACTCAGGCACTGCACGGTGCCCGCAGCAGAGCATCGTGTTGGGGCTGGATGCGGTTCTGCATTACAGGCATGGGGAGGGCACAGTGAGCTGCTGGTGTGTCTCCCAGTGCCGCACGGCTGGGCTCGCATACATACACAGCCCTGGAGGGCCTGGGAGATCACTGAGAGCATTAGATTTAACAGAGGACAGAGCTGTATTTCACACTCTGTTGTCACAGGTGATGAGGTGGATGTTGACCAGCCTAGGGTGCCACGTCCCGGCCATCAGAGCTCAGCGCCCCGGTGGCAGCCCCATCCACACAGCACAGCCCGCAGCAGGACGCAGGCCTGTAGCGGTTCCCAGCCCCGTGTTTGCACACAGCTGCGTTCCCAGGGCTCCTTCTGCGCCGCTGTCACGTTTCTCCTGGGAAATGTTTGAGTTAGGCTTTGCTTTGCTCAAAGCCGGGGGGTGTTATTCATAGGCTGCGGCCTCATGAGACATCCTCGGCCGTCAGCCTGGCCCAGAGGAAAACAAACCCCGGACTGTGGACGTCAGGGCTGAGGCAGCCCGAGTTGTGGTGGGAGCACCTCTGTGCCCGACCCAGCTCCAGAAGGGCTGTGCCACAAAATGGGTGGCAGCTGTCCCATACCCAGGACCTCGGTAGCACTGTGTCCATTTGGCAGCCCAAAATCCCAGGGTCGGGGTGAATGGGCTGGCAGCTCCCTGCCATGGGCTTGGTGCTCTGAAGCAGCTGTGCATCCCTGCAGGCAGTGTTCTGGTTGCACTGACAGTTGTGTGCCCTCTGCTCCACAGGCCTGATCTTACTGTTCTACTTCATCTTCTACACGTGCCTGGCAGGGATGTTTGCCTTCTGCATGTATGTGATGCTGCTCACCCTGAGTCCCTACACACCCACCTACCGGGACCGTGTGTCTCCACCAGGTACAGCCCCAGTGCCCCGCTGCCACCAGGTGTGATGGAAGGGCTGGGGAGGCAGGAATAAACAGTATTTCATTTGCTGTCAATTTATACCTCAGATCTTCAAAGCGCCAATCAAGAGTAGCTTTATGTAATATTATTTGAAGGAGTGGATATGAGATAATGTTCTAAACCTCCTCTCCCCATGGCAGAAGCAGCATTTTCCCTGGGTTCTCATGTTTGTGGGAAGCATGCAAGACCTAGCCTTGCTCTGGCTGGGTGCATAGGGGGCCCTTGGCTGCCTTGTGCTGTGAGTGGTGGTGGAGGAGGAGGATGGCTGTCTGGGAGCTGGGGCCTGACCTAACCACAGTGCGCCCGGCCCTGCACTGCTGCCCCAGGCCCATGGCCGGCCTTGCCTCACTCTAACAGCACCTGTCTCACTCCCAGGAGTAATGATCAGACCATACCTGAACGGCTTTACTATTGCCTTCAACGTCTCCAAGCCCAGCACGTGGCAGCCATATGTGGACAGCATGCACCAGTTCCTAGCAGGTGGGCAGGGGGCTGCAATGCGGGCAAGCTTTGTGCAATGCAGGGCTTTTACATGTGTGGTGTAGCACACAGGATGCAGCGTGGGGCAAGGGCTGAGATAACATGTGGGGATGGGGTGGTGATGAGCCCAGCTCTAGGGCTGGGCAAGATAACAACAGCCTCAGCCCCTGTGCAGAGGGATCCTCACAGGGAGATCAGCTGTGGGTGTCTCACAGCTCCTGCTTGGAAGGGAGGCTTTGGAAGCCTTGGGAGCTGCAGCAGGGAAACCGTCCTATTCCACACCTATTCCTGGGTGTGATCCTTGGCATCTGGATACACTCAGAACATGGATCTGAACAGGTCTTGAGGAGCATTAACGAGTCTCTTGCTCCGCACCAGCTTATGATGACAAAGTTCAAGAGGAGAAGAACATCGAGTGCGTCTCAGGACAGTACTTCATCCAAGGGGGCAACGACAGTGAGGAGAAGAAGGCCTGCCAGTTCAAGCGCTCACTGCTGCAGAACTGCTCAGGGATCGAGGATCCGACATTTGGCTTCTCTAAGGGCCAGCCCTGCATCCTGCTGAAGATGAACCGGGTAGAGAAATTCTGATTGTCCTTGTTCCTCCCTTCAGTGTACCCCAGCAGACAGGCTAAAAACAGCGCAGAGCCCAAAACTCAGCCTCTTCCCAGGTCCATGGAAAAGGGAATGAGAAATCCAAACCTGCTTGTACCTGCCAGAAAGTATTACAAAGAAGCACTACAAAACTGGGTGGGTTTGATTTGATGAAGGGCTGGGAGCTCTCAGGACATGTGCCACACTCCTCTCAGGGAGGAACTGAGCTTTAATGCTGCGCCCCAAGCTGTGTCTTTGTAATGGGTATTTTTATAAAACCAAATTCATTTGCAATTTTCTAATGCCAGGACAGCTCAGTGTGTACTGTTGGCAAAATGAACACAAAGGGGAGCAAGCTGCACACAGGGAGGTGGCTGCGTCCCAGCAGGGATGCTCCCAACACTCTGCTCTGCCCCTCCTGCCAGGTGCCCACCCTGTGCTCAGGCATGGGCAAGTGGCACAGTGCAGGGCTGTGAGACACTGAGCTCCTCCTGAGCATTGTGGCCAGCAAGAGCAAAAGCCCTCAGAGGGAAGGCAGCACACACGTGGCACTGTGCTACATACAGCTGTGGATGTCTTTTGTTTCTGCAGATCATAGGCTACCGCCCTGGTGCTGGGGTCCCTGTGAACGTGGACTGCAAAGTGCAGGTACTGCTGTGCCCTCACTTCAGCCGTGTGCCCCTCAGACTCCCTCCCGTTATCCCACAGTCAGGAATTAGGAAGAGCTGCATCTCTCTACAGCCCCCACCCCGAGAGTGCTCTGCAAGCGGCATAGGGGGAAGGAGCAGCTCCCACACAGTGCACGTGGTCCATACCCTTCTTGCAGTAGTGAAATAGCCAGGCACAGAGAGCAGCAAACAGCACGACACACTCTGCAACCTTTGCCCGTGCCCTCCGAGCACAGGTTTCTCTGGCTTGCTGCAGCAGGGATGGGGAGCTGCAGGAGACAGGGGCTTAAGTTCCTTCAACTCCCTACATTTTGTGTCCCACACACTGTGCCTTTGTTTTGTTTCAATCCCAGAAAGGCAATGAGAGCGATCTGAGGTCAGTGGACTTCTACCCTGGAAACGGCACATTTGACCTCATGTATTACCCCTACTACGGCAAGCTTACGCACGTAAGTAAGGACACAGATGCCCCAGCAGCTGTTACCCCTCCTGGGAAAGGAGTGGGTACAGAGGTGTGTTTCGGGCTATTTTGGGCAGGTGCAGGAGGGAGGCTGCAGGCACTGGGATTACAGCAGTCTATTTCCGTCCCTGTCAAACCAGAGGAAACCCTCAGGGACACCCCTTCCCTGGTCACATTCAGCTCCTGCAGCAGCAGAACGGCTTTGTTAGGGCTCCAGAGCTCCCAACAGCAGGGTGCTGGGGCAGGGTGCGCTGGGGTGACATGGAGGGAAAGCCCCCCCCAGAACCTTCAGTGGCAGATGTGCCAAAATCCCTGCAAGGCGAGCAGCTGGCACAGGGCAGTTGAACAGCAGCAGCTGTTCCTGACAGTGACAGCCTGCACCGCCGGCGGTTTTGCTTTGGTGCTTGGAGTGATGATGGGCATAGGAAAAAGCACTGAGCTGCCCCTCAGTGGTGAAGCAATTACTCAAGGTATTACCAAACACAAACGGAGCCTTGCCTGCTATGCTGCTCTGAACTGAACTCAACACATCTTTCTCTCTTTCAGGTCAACTACACGTCCCCCCTGGTGGCCATGCACTTCACAGACGTGAAGAGGAATAGTTTGGTCCACATTCAGTGCAAGCTGAACGGGAAAGGAATCATCAATGACGTTAACAGCGACCGCTTCCTGGGCCGGATCATCTTCACACTCAGCATTGGAAAGTAGCCAGCAAACACAAGGCGTGAGGTTAAGTCAGTCAGAGGCTTTTCCTTTTTAAAACATAAAGACAGCATTTTTTTTTTTTTTTTTCCACTAGGAAATTTTTGTTAACTTATTCTTTTCTTTTTTTTTTTATAGTTAGGAAACAAATGAGATGCAGTAGCATCTTTCAGCATCTGATAAATCACAATTAGTAAATATTGAAAGTTACACCTTGGGCAGAGAACTTGCAAAAGTATTTCAGTTTTTATTAGAAGAACCCTGGTACCTGAACACTGTTTCCATAAGATCATGTGACCTGTTTTAATCTTTACAATAGTTTTAGTGCACTTCTCAGGCAATAGCTAACGAGATGGTGGCTTATCAGTACTATTCCTGTTCAAGTACCAAACAGCAAACGTTCTGGATGATGCTTGCGATGACAGTTAACAAAATACAATGGCAAACCTTAAAGTGCCACTGGGACTGCTGGCAGCAGCAGCACCCTGCCTGCAGCTCTGCCCACCCGGCCCATACAGGGTGCTGCAGCCAAGGCTGCTTGGCCCCATCCCCAACTCCTGGGCCAGCAGTGCAGCTGTGCCAGCCCTGAGAGGCCTCAACAAGGCTTCCTTGGTGTTAAGGATGATCACGTTGATTGCTATCTTTGTTCCATAGGACAGCAAGGCACAGCAGTGATTTCAGCATCTAGGCAAACACTTTGTTTCTACAAGCACTCAGACTCACTTTAGTTTTGATTGTTTGGAAAATGAGATTTTTTGTTATACTCGCCTTCATATTTAACATACAGAGGGCGTATTTCTCCTCTCAGTTACAATCAGGACAGGACACCTTAGGACCATGCACTTAGGAAAGCACACTTAGTAAAACTACTGACTGAACGAGAGCATTGTGGTATGTTTGCCCTACATCCTCGTCCAGATACTTAATCTGCCATCACTGCTGATCTATATAGGTCTCTAAGAAGCCCTTTTTTGTATTTATTAAAAATAAAGTGACTACCGTCTAATTAACTCTATGGTATCATTCTTAAAACCCAAGTGGGATTTGTGACTTCTGCCCCTTCACTGCTTGCAGGGGACCAACCTTCACAGCTGAGAGTACTGCGAGCAGTGAATCCTGAGCACCAGTAAGCTCCCAGAGCCACAGAGCTCGGAAGCTCAGTGCAGAGAAATCTCACACTATGATATCACAGCTGACCATTCAGCAACAGCTGTTTCTTAAAAACCATCAAAAATATTAACCAGAGAATAGCTTCTGCTGACAAAGACACTGCAGTGGCGCTGCTTTTGGCATCAGAAATAAGTTACGACCACAGGTATCACAATCACTGTAGGTCTGTTAAAGCACCCTTGCTTCTGCTGGATCCCCAAGGGAAACATCCCCTGTTGCTTCAGGCCAACCCACAGGGCTGCTGAGAAGCCCTGGGAAACGCACGTCTGCTTATGCTAAAGCAGAACTGCACCACCATCAGAGTTCAGCTGGTTTTCCATACACGTTCTGCACTCAGCAGGTTCATTCCAACATCTGGAGAATTGTATACCATATCATTGTATGTATATATGATATCATCAATGTATATCATTCTTCATACTACAGCCTTAAAGTGCCAGCTCAGTTTCTGATCTCTATTGAAGTCCAGATTAGTCCTTTCTATGCACATATATATGTATAAAATGTGTGTACATCCAGGAAATCGCCGTATTTTAGCAAAATAATGCAGCAAGCGATGCTGAAGTGGTGTGAGACAGTTTGATCTACAACCTGAGCACAGAGCTGCAGCCAGAATGCACTTGCTGCAGCAGAGCAGAGGGCCCATCACTGGTAACTCCAGGCAGCTCCACGAGCCACCTCTGTCTGACCAACACACGCTGGTGGGAGCAAAGCAGCACTCAGCCACAGACCACGAGCTTCTCTTTTAGTACAGTTCTGGTATGGAACACAGAACTGGAAAAAAAGAAGAGGAAAAGCAGCTTTGGACAAGTCAGGTGCTCTTTTCCTTTACAAGTCACTTTCTTTACTATAGAGTTTCTGCTTCACGCTCACCATTTCTCATACCAGAGGTGTTGTGCTCTTACCCGGTTCAAAATTTTGTTTGTGAGAGTAATAATTAGGAGGTTAAAGCCAGATTAATCCTATAAATAAATTCCTAGACTGCAGCTTTTCAGCGATCCCCTTTTTGCCAGTGAAACTGCAGGGATCTCAGCACAAGGCGCCCTTCATCCTCAGAACATCCAAGCCTCATGCTGGGGACTGGTGCTGCCTGGTCCCCTTTAGCACAGAGCCAGAGCTGAGGCAACCTGCTGCCATTGAGGCTCCACCCTCCCATCGTCATTCCACAACTGAATTCTTGAAAAGAAGAAGACAGCCAAAGAAAGCAACACAAAATGTGAGCTTTAGTGGACTGCTGGCTTTCCTGAGCAGTGAGAGCCCTCCAGGACTGAGTCCCATCTTAGCAAACAGGGGAGTTACAGGCACACCGGTGCAAAGCAATTGCAAACACATTAGCAGTCAGCCTCTCCATGCTCATCTTTAACACATGAATTTACTAGAAGAGTAGACGTTCTCCTCATAGTAGGTTGATTTATTAGTGAGGTACTATCTTTACATTCAGAAGGAGGAAATTCAGACCGGTTCACAGGAACAAGCTGCTAAACGATGAAAGAAGACAACAGCCACAAGCCAGGTTCCAGACAGAAGCACCATGAGCTTTGCTTTCATTTTCCCATAGCACGTACAATGCTTCTCAGTGCAGCATTCGTACCTTTATCATGTGGATTTAACTTTGTCAATATCTGATAGCTGTACACAACTAGAAATTTTCTCATATAAAAGGACTGAGCAACAAAAAGAAGGTCTCAATGTCACCTGGAGTCAATCACATCTCTCACATGGACACATGTAACCCTGCTCACTTCTATGGTCCTCAGAACACTTTCTCCAAAAATCACACAGTAGCTTCAAGTAAATTTCCAATTCATCTCATGCTGTATTATTCTGTTGTGATGTGTTTTTTAATTTTTAATAAAAAAACCTAAGAACGTTTTGTTTGTTTTTAAAGGGACAGGTCAGGAGAAGAGCACAGGGGTGGCAGCAGAGAAGTAATTAAGAAATTATACAGACTGATAGCCAGTACGACTTTTTCTTCTTCCAATGATGTAAGATATAAAGACAAGAATGATAAGGAAGCCAAGTGCCATGCCAACTGCGATTGGAATAAGAAAGTTGAGGTCAGAATCAGCAAAGCATTCTTCAGCTGCAGAAAAAATAACAACAAAACAAAAACAAAAACAAAAAACAAAAAGGGAAGTGAGAACAAATTAGTAAAGGAAACCGAGCATCAGAAATCAAGTAAAGCAAGGAGCAAAGACACTTAACATTTCTGAGAACATCGTATTACATACGTAACATATTTGAAGTCACGTCAGCATTGAGCAGATTCTTTAAACACATACTACACGTCATTTGCACTGGCAAAACTCTTCTTGCAATTTCTGCATTACCTTTCATCTTGCTTTGCAGCACTCACGGATGCATTAGGGATGTACAGGCAAGGCAGAGGGCTGAGCATGTTGGCCACTCCCAACTCAGTTAACAGCAATAAAGTGACATAAAACACAGGCTGGTACAGCACTGCCTTTCCAAGAGATTCCCCAACCCCCCCAGCCATCACCGTTTCTCGAGGCTTTGGACATGCAGACGGCTAACAGGCATCAAACCAAGTCCTGAGGAATCCAAAGGACAGCCCAGAGTCATGTACTGAAAGCATGGAATGGAAAACACTGAGGGACAATCTTTTTGGGTGGGTAAGTTTATTTATTTTCAATACAAACACAAGAAAGGTGTTATCGATGCCAGCAGAGAATGACGCAGGCCTGACCGAAACCAACAGAAGAGAACAAAGAGCAGACAGCTGTAATACTACAGTGGCTTTCAATACACCAGTTGGAAAGGATGCAATGAACTCCTGAGTGATGCAAACACTCAGAGCAACTTTTAGCTGGGAATGGGAACTCATTCCAAACTCCATGGTGCACCGTGAGCAGGCACAGAAGCAGGGCTTAGCACTGCACCCATTTCAAGACAGAGCAGAGCTCTGCCTGCACGGTGCCAGGAGGAAACGCTCCATAAGGTGAGACACCTTGCAAGGGTGGCAAGGATGCTTGGCTTTCTGCTTTTGTTTGGGTTTTTTTTTTGCTTGAATTTATATTAGAACAGAGGAAGCACCACACTTTGCCCACAGTTATTGGCTGTTAAGTGAATATTTAATCTGAGCATCTGAATCAGCCTTGGTGATGGGAAGCTTGCAGTCCAGCACAGCGACTTTCCAAGAAAGGCTGTGCAAGGCCTTTTGTTTGGAGGTAGGTAAGCAAGACACATGGAAACTCAGCACCTAAGAACACTGAGCCCTGGCGAAGCTGAAGGCACCTACTGCCAAGCTGAGCAATGCTCCAAAGTGGGGAAAAAGGAACAGAATGTGTAACTTACACCATGAGCTAAGTGAAATCATTTCGACTGCTGAAAAAACTATTGAAGTACCTTGAAAGAGAAGCTTCAATTGTGCTATGTGTTCAGGCACCTCGGATCACTGGAGATCAACATATGCAGTTTAATTACTACAGGCTGGATAATGGGCTATTACTACAAAAGAATTTGCTAGGGAGGGAAAGTACCCAGCAATCAGCAAAGAAATTCCCTTTTTCTCTTCTTTAAAGGAAAGCAATTGCTTTAACACGTATTACAATACAGCACTGTTGCAAGACACTAACTGACAGTACAAAAAGGGTTTAATGTTTGATACCAGGAACATCCCATCTTTCAGCTCTGGTAAGTTTGCCACTGCTGTTGGCTCACACCTATCCATGTTGGCACAGCACAAGCATTAGAAGCTTCAGGGAAGCATCTGCAGAGACACACGTGGACAACTGCACATCACCATGAGCAGGCTCCACATTTAGGCCGTATGAATGGGGCTGAATGTTTTAACCATTTCATTGAACAGACGTTCAAAATAATCAGAAATTTTGGCTACCAAGATTTTTGGGCCTGATATGAAAAGCCATCTTCCCTTTTAATTACAATCGTGAGAAGCAACTAATAGCCCTTTTTTTTTTTCTTTTTCCCCCCATTGGCTTAAGGTATTCCATAGAGAAAACTACAGCCATGGCATCTTTAAGCTAAAAGACCAGAAATCTTGGTATCTTAGAGCACAGTTACAATATTTAGTAAACTGTATATAAGGCACAGTCAATAATAATTAAAACGAACCGCAGTGTATGACAGCTGATATACATTAATACTCAACATCCACAAGCACACATCAAATGCCATTCCCACAGTCCAGAACAAAACCATGTTTATTCATGTAATGCCAGCGCACGTCTTTACAATTCTGAAATTTGATGTGTAGTATTTTAGAGAAAAAGCAATCAGTTCATCAGTTGATTACGAACTGGGATATACTCTGTGCTATTTGTAAAGAAAAAACTATAAACCACAACAATGAATTCCACATCAGTTCTTAGCCAGGTGCTAGCTTTAGTAAGCGGTCTGACTGGGCAGAGCTGCTGCTCTGAGTCTTTTGAGTTCAGATTTAGTAATTTACTTCAAGAAAGTTAAAAACTTTCCCATTTTAAAACTGCTCATATCCAGCATTATGGTGTTTCTTGTGGCCCAAAAAGTAAGCCATAATTACTAGGACAACTAATCCTCCCAAAGCTGCTCCTACTGCTATAGGTACAATGAAGTAGTCCACCTCTGGGCTGCAGTCTTCAGCTAAATAGAAAGAGGGCAAGTTTGAAAAAGAAATGCATTTTAATATGCTTAATACCACGATCATGCTCCACTTATTTAGAACAGTTATCCTCATCCCACCAGGACATTAAGACACTCATCTTTCCCTTATCCTCCTCCCCCTCCCCAAAGTCCCCCAAAGCAGCAATAATCCCCTAACAGACTCCCAATTCTATCACCTTTCCTGCTGAAACACTGCTATCTGTATATCACCACACATTTATTGCTATTGCATACCCCTAGTACACCATGATGTGCAGGCTTCCCTTGTGTAGGTACTAAAAAACCAGACTTTAAAGTTACAATGCTTATTGTAGGACAACAGTAACTTCTGCTCTGCTGCTTCTTTCAAGTTTTGTCATGGACTCATCCAGCCTGGCACGCACCAACGAGCTGATGGCAGCTTGATACCTGCAGTCCCACTGGATGTACAGCCTTAAGAATGCAAGCTGTTATGATTTTTGTTGAAATACCTATTATTCTTCATATTTAAAAGCTTCAGCTGACCTCAGCTTACATTTCAGAAAGATAGTAATTTTATTTTTTCTATGGGTAGCAAACAGTAAGGTAGGTATAATTTAATGATGTTATATGCAGTGCAGATTAGAATCGAGGAGGAAGACTATAGCATTAGATGGCACGTGTTCCTCCTGTCTCATCACCACAGAGTTCAAAATACAGGTGATGGTAAAGGGAAGACTAATATCTCTCGCTGCAGAAGAAAACAAAGCACTGGGTAGTACTGCTAGCAGAACTAGCAGCACAGCCAGGATCACAGTGCTTCTCCCTTGGAGGATGAAGCTGCTAAGCAGCTCCCAGCAGGCCCCAATGCTTTCCTACTTTTGCTAAATGCAGGGATTTGTTTTATTTCCCAGGATGACTGCAAAAAGAAAAGCTGAACTTTTCACAGCTGTACATCAGCTTAAGAGGGCTAGCAAAAATCACATCAGAAAGGTATCTTGTCTGCAAGGAGCTGCAATTGCCAAAATAGTTTACAGGCAAGTTTCTAACGACAAACCAGACTCGTAGTGTTTCAATTAGTTCTCAAGTTGTCTTCTGTTAGATGACTGCACCCAAGCACACTTCAGAATGTGCTGAAAAGCAAAACATTAAGACACAGGCAACCGAGGACTCTCTGAGGAGTGCCTTCACACGTTACACAACAGAATCTCAGATATAGACTGATTAAAGTTGGCCTTACTCATTTATTTTCTTATAGAAAAGATAATACAAGATGTCTGCTTTCAAATCGGTTAAAAAGTATGAACAAGTTTCCTTAAGAAACAGAACAATCTTTATTATTTAGAGCACAGGTTGAGCAGGTTGACAATTCCCTATGGAGCAACACAGACAGGAAATCTGGTGGTTTTATAACAACAGGCAGTCGGGTGAAACTGAGATGTTTTAGAACCAGGTAACTGCACATCAGTCTAGGAGGACTTTAATCTCGGCGCAAAGTACTTGCAGATGAAGATCCGCTTCCAGGTTTTTGCAAGGAGGCGTTTAGTTTTGTTGGATTTTTAGTGCCAAGCACTCCCATCTTCTATTTCATCACTTAAAACCAAACACAGCTCAAAAGCTCACACGATCAGATGAGGACAGTGTGGTGACTACTCCTTAACACAAGTGTACATGTATCTGGTGACGCTGAATATCAGTCAGTAAAATGCTAAAAAAAATCTACATGAACTTCATATTAATATATCCTTAAATGCAGAAAATAATTAGAGCCACTAGTTGACATATTTTTTTAATTAAAAAGTAAAGTCTTGAAGTCTGTTTTGAGATTAAACTTATAGTCGTTCCCCACTTTCATTAAAATGATTTTCAGTAACTGATGCAAAATTCAAGCTGTAGGCTACAAGCTATAGCAAGCTTTATCAACTCATTCTTGCTTCTCTAGCTAGTGGTAAGATGAAAACTTTCACCCAAAAAACGTTACTGAAAGAAGTGGTTTGTATACAAACATGCCACAGACATCTCTACAACCCTAGAAAACACTAATAAAACACGAAACCAGCTTTGATGCAGGCTAAACTCATCCTAAAGGAGACAATTATGTTTGTCAAATGACTAGCTTAAGCAGCTTGTGTTATGACATAAGTAAAAAGTCACACACTGTTTAGAAAAGTTTTTTTTTTTGCCCATGCAATAAAAACTATTACAGCACAAAGGACAGAAAAAGGTTGTGCAGCGAGGGTTAGCCTCTACAGAGCTGCAGCTTAAGGACAGTCCATCTGCACTGCATATTTTAGCTAGTTGGCCTTTCCACACAGCAGGAAAAATAGGCGTAGTGGGTCCTTCTCAGACTTGTTTGGCTTTTGCATTCTTAACATTAATAAAAGCTACACAGCACACAGTCAAACATAAAGCACATTAAACACTGAGAATGCCAAGGGCAGACAGTTATAATGTGGATTTCGATTAGCAGAGAACCATTCAAGATGAAGACTTAAAGACAGCTCAAGTTGCAGCAACAGATACTGGCTCATTGAACAAAAGCATCCTTGAAGTTACAATGGTCATTCAAAGCAAAAAGTTAAGATAGACCAGTTCTGTGCAAAGTATAAAGTTAAGTGCACTTTAAAGTTCTGGACTATTTAGAACGGTTATTCCCTTTAAATTGATGCCAGTAAAAAAAAAAAATAACCTGCATGAATTTAGCAGAATTCTGCCTCAGTTAAATATTTCAGGGGGTTGCTGTGACAAAGAATTCATGCCTAACAATTCATTTAAAAAAAAAACCAAAAAATAAAACAGTTTTTTTTTTTTGAAAAGCATTTGGAAGCTGCACCAAATTCTTCCAACACACGCCCTGCTTGGCAGGGAGAGGTTACCCACTTGGTTTGTACAGCCACGGTTTGGGGATGGCTCCCAAAACCACTGGGGCAGGAGTAAACTACTCAAACTCCATTAAAGCTAAGTAAGTTACTGCTGCCACTTCAAAAAAATCACTCAGTCATCAGTTCAACTGTGAAAAACCAAGCTGTTACTGGGCATCATACAATCCGTGGTAGTACTACGTGAGTCAGCTTGGTGAATAATGCTGCCAACTTAACCCACAAATATGACAAGCAAGTACAAATCCTATGCAATTCTGGGATTTGCCCAACGCACATCAGTTTAGAATGTGCTTTATTAATTTAGAAAAAGAAAAAATAAATCCTAAACATTTCAAGGTTTGGTTCAAAATAAAATCCTTGGCCAAGTCATTTATGCAATAGTGATATCTGCCATCTTCAGAACAGCTATGAGACTCACATCATCTTCCTGGAGCTGGAAAACTAAGAACATAGTTCTGCTTCATCTGAGATAAACACTCTCCCTCTGCTTCTCAACTCCAACTAGCTGTGGCTAGTATTTAGTCTTAAGTTTTGGGGCTTTTTTGGACTTCGGAACTTGCAATTGCTTCATAAAGGGTGAAATCAGAACAGTGATTACATTTTGATTCACAAAGTTTGATATCCAGCATAGCTTTTCCTTCTGCCAATTATGTAAGCAATCACTATAATGACAATCAAGCCAGCAAGTGCAGCACCAACTACAATTGGAACTAGAATGGTGTCATCATCCAGCGAACACTCCTGGGCTGTAGATAAGAAAAGGGTTGCAACAAGGAATAAATAAAGACAGAATACTTGCCAATTGTGGTATAAAAACCTATTTTCCTTAACAAGATGAACAAAATCAAATATTTGTGCAGGTTTATACTAAGAAAGAACAAACAGCAGAGTTCTCGTAGGTATTTCTAGTATATGTTAAGCATTATAATCATTCTGTATGTTCAGTAATCTAACGAGCTAAAGGTACTGTCCTGGTGTGGGAGCATTCATATGCATAAAATCTGTACAAGACAAAGGAGCAGCTATTCTTCCACTGCTAAGACAGGACAAGGCTTATCTACTTCCTGCTTAAGGCAAGCCTGGTACAGTTACTGATTAAAAATAAAGTAGCCTGGATTCAGTGTTGAGAACATATCGAGAACTGAGACATGTTACAGTGAGATGAAACCATTAATCGTGAGGAAGAGGAGGAAGCTAGCTGCAAATAGAAACACAGGGTAAAGCAGTGTCTAACTCCTCAGAGCACATGATGATAAAGATCATCACCCTGCACACAATCTGGGGAGTCAATTTATACCACTCCCCAGGAAAAAAAACGAGCTTGAAAATCCATGCCCAGACTAACTGCCTACAGATTAACCTGCAAGTACTGTCATGAAACACAAGGACCAAGATATGCTATAGATTATTCATAAAGTTCATTCAAATCTTTCCAGTTTTCCCCAGACACAACTAGGATAATGAAGCAAACAACATCTTAGAATGTTTGTTTGGTCCTGGATATATAAGACTGCTTCCATAAGAAGCTGTTAGTTCTTTTTTCTACAACACTGCTATTCCTTAGGAATGTTTACATCATTTTTAGATCAGTAGGTCTAAAGAATTGCCTGAAGTTGTTAAAGTTCACTTTTATTCAAGTTCTTTCCCACTGTCATATATTCAAGCTACAAAAATCTGTATGTTAAGATATCAGGCAATGCTAAGATCCTCTTCAGCACCTCTAGCTCCCTCAAGAGGAGAACTGACATGCTTAGTAGACTTGCTCTTTTTTTTTTTTTTTTTTTAAACATATTGAGAATAAAGCTGACAACCTTCCTTGAACTTCAATGTCAGCCTCAGAAGTTTAATTTCATGCGTACAAAAAAAAAAAAATACACTGGGGCAAAAGCTTCAAAAAAAAGAAAAAAGTACTTATGGCCAGCTCTGGTACTTTTTAGGCAATAAGAATTTTACAAGCATTTCAAGAATTAGTACAAAAATAAAATAACTTACCTATTGAGAATTTGTTTTCTTTCACAAGGAATGGTTGAACCCAGAGGTTAAAAGTATGTACTTGAAGATCTTCAGTAATCTCAAGAGTTTGCTCCTTACGGCACATATAAGAATTACCAAGGGAAGCATCCCACTTGCTGAAGTTGTTGTTATCTGCACTTAAAATGACTAAACAAAGGAAAGAAAAAAAAAAAAGAAATTTCCATGCCTACTTTAAATACAAGAAACATGTTAATACATTCATAGGACTGAGGAGATGAATCTAGATGGACCAGCTTTTCAGGTTTTGCTACTCTAAAATACAAAATGGTCTTAAGTTTGATTGATCTGCTTAATTTCACTGCCTGGCTTCTTTTGGATATTATAATACTTACCAGTAGCCTATCCTCCATACAAATATGACATTAGGCTTTTCTCTTACCTTCACTCATCCCAACACAAATGTAGTGCAGGCACTTTAGTGCTCTTTTAATTGCAGTAGCTGTGACAATTTAAAAAGATATTTCTGATTCAGAAGAAAAATGCATGCCTGAGTTTTTGAAGGACTGGACTCTTCACCAGTGTTGAGCAGAAGTGACAGGAGAGTACTGTACCTTTTTCAAGCAAAGACAACAGCTGATTCAGGAAAAACAAAAAGCTTCAACTTACTTTGTACCTCAGAATTTTATGTTACTGAGAACTGTAACGTGAGAAAAGCCCTCTCAATTTATGTTTATCAAAAAGAGGCTTCATTCACAGAATTCTCAGCACAACCCTACACTGTTGTTTCAAATGACCCTTGCAACCATTTGTGATTGTTACTCTTGTTCATATCAGCTAAAAGACTTAGATGCAGGAAGCAACAGTAAGCATGAACGCTATTTTGATCAGAAGTATACGATGAAATGTAGAAACTGAAGCTTACATTCACTTTACAGGCAGGCATTACTTACCAGAACCATTCTGATGGTTGAGTAGTGTAACGTTCACCTCTTTCAGATAAAATTTTTGTACACTTGCACTTGCATTCTGTTTAACAAGAAAGAACCAACTGTCAGTGTGTCATTCTGCATTTTCAATTTTAATAACACATTTCCAAAGTTTAGTACATTTACCACAGTCCTGCATTTCCCCACAACTTCATCCCAAACACCTTTTTGCCCTGAGGCAAATGGCAACCAGCTAGTCAGTCTCACTTCCTTTCTGAAAACAGCCTATCAGCAGCAAGTTGCAGGACTTTACCATGAATTCTCATCACACAATGCTGTTAAAGCTGAAACTTAAAGTATAAGTTACTTACAACAACGAACGTGAAGTCAATTAATGTCCTATTTCCATCATTCAATTTCAGAGTAGCTGAAGTGTTACCACATGTCCCATCTGCATGAGTTGTTTTCGGATCGATGTTGATCAGAAGAGGCTGAAATACATACACACCATGTCAAAGGAGCTCAGCTAACTTGCATCTATCATGAATCTATTATTTCAGTTAGCAGCAGTTTTAAGAGCATGTAATAAAGGAGAAGACAGCACAAAGACCAAGTCCAGCTACTACCTAACCAAAGCTGCTTGAGTTACTTTACAGGTTGGTAACACTGAGACAAACCACCCTATGAAGTTTCACTTCCACTTAATAAATACATAAAAAGAAAGGTCAGGACATTTTTTCTTTGTGCATCTAAAAGACAACTTAGCTGCATAGCTTTGGCTCCCTCTGTGGGAAAAGACAGCAGCTACAGGCCCCAAGAGCCTAAGAAAGTTCCAGTCTTTCAACGACCTTACATTTATTCCTAGTAATAAGGGTCTGCAGCTAACTAGGTATTAGGCCTCAGAATTACCCCTTGGTCAGAGAGGTGTCTTGTACACTTGGAAGCAGTTCTGGACAGCCAGCACCAAGCAAACACTCTGCACTCACATTTCACACACAAAAACAACCACAGTAACCTTTCTACTCTTCTTCATCAGCTCCAACACAGCCAAGAGACAGGTGCTGTACCTAGGTCAGGGCAATCTAAAACACCAGTGCAGACAAACTTTAAATGAGCCAGTAATGCACAACTGCAGCCCAGAAAGCCAAGTATATCCTGGGTTGCATCAAAAGTGCAGCCAGCAGGGCAAGGGAGGTGATTCTTTCCCTCTATCTGGAGTACTGCACTGCACCTTGAGGTCCTCCAGCACAATAAGGACATGGACCTGCTGGAGTGAGTCCAGAGTGCTATGAAAACAATCAGAGGACTGGAGATACGAAGATGGGCTGAGCTATCTGGAGTTGTTTAGCCTAAAGAAGAAGGGCTGAGACCTTGCCTTCCAATACTTAAAGGAAGCCCACAAGAAAGATGGGGAAAGACTTCTGGCCAAGCTGTGTAGCAATAAAACAAATGGTAACTGTTTTAAACTAAGAGAGAGTAAGTTCGTTCAGACTGTATACAAAGAAATTCTTTAGTATGAAGGTGGTGAGGCACTGGCACAGGTTGCCCAGAGAAACTGAATGCACCATCCCTGGAAGCATTCAAGGCCAGTCTGGTTGGGGCCCTGGGCAGCCAGATCTGGTAGAGCTGTCCCTGTCCATGGCAGGGGAGAGTTGGAACTGGATGAGCTTTAAGGTACTTTTCAACCCAAACCATTCTATGATTCTATTCCAAAATTTGAAAACATAAGAGAGGCACCTTGTTTTGGGAAATATTCAGCTGCAGCCCCACGGTAGCCAGAAGACAAGTTTTATTTCCAGTTTTAAGAGAATAGTTTCCTGTGACTGGGTTCTCAGCAGGTGTGGGAGCAGTGGTTGGAGCAGGTGAAACGGTGGTAGATGCAGTAGTTACATTGGCAACAGTAGGCAGAACAGTAGGTGCAGCAGTAGGTGTATCAGCACTACACCTAGACTCTGAAAAGAAGGTAAACCACCATTTCAGTGATGAAGTTTTTCTTAAGGCTTATGGCTGAGAAGTCAGTTGGATACAGATACCCATTTCTAAATTGAAATCTAAGCTCAATGGGAATCTGCTCATCACCAAGTGAAGAGTCTCCAACTCAGTACTGTGGCACAGCAATTAACAGCTGCAATTATTCTAAGAAATTCTATGCTACTCACCATTCTAAATCCATGTACCACAAACAGTGCTACTTCTCTAAAACAATGAAGCAAAACACACCCACAAAAGTAAACGTTAGTGCTTATAAAACTGCTATACACATTGCAATTCAAGTAAACAATGTCCTATGTAGCAGGATGATATGCTGGTCTCCTCTGCATGGTAGAACTATGAGACAACAAGCTATCACAGGCTTTGTATTATTTAAATGAAAAAGCAGTGAATTTTCCACTGAAAACAGAAGGCAACCAGTTGAAAAACCTCCACGCTCAAATGATCTAGTTTGCAGCAACACTTCTGGAGTGTCTGGAGTGTCTAATACCCTCAAATGCACTCTTTATTAGAATACTGCTGGATATACAACTGGATATGCTCTATTGATATTTTTTTTTCCTCCAGGAACAAGAAAAGACACAGTTGAAGATTATATACATATTATACATATACATACATGTATGTATTATTCAACATGGCACATTTTAGAACTGTTGGATTTTAATTACTGGATTTCATCCCTGCACTAGGACACCATACAAAAAAAGCCCATTTACAATTTGAAACACTCACCTTTTTTACCAATTGTGCCATTCTGAACAAAAGGCTGCATAGTAACATTCCAGAAAATCTGTGTTACGTTTTCTGCTTCAAAAGAGGTAGTATGATGACACACAAAGACATTATTCAGTTGAATCGGATGCATAGCATCCTTTACAACAATTGTAACTGGTCCTACAAATAAAAACAAATATTTTAATGCCTTGTTTACCACAAGAACATTTACAGGCAGCGTTACGTTTTCTATAATTCATAAGACAAAGAAATAACAGGAATTAAGCCTAACAGTCCTAACCTCTCTTGAATGTTTTACCCATGCGTTCTGACCGAATGTGACACAGAGAAGTCTTTAGAAAGGAGAACATTAAGTCTTTGTTCAAGAAAAAAAAAAAACACGTTGGTAGGACTAAGTATACACAGAAACCCTAATGCTTTTTGTTTTGCTACATAGAAGGTGAACAAACAAATCAGTTTTATATTTCCTCTTATGTGCTAGCAGCACCCCCCCATCAAACCTGTCCAAATGGTTAACCTTCCCTTTCTCTTCCACCTAAGGGCACTAGTCAAGCTAGCTTAAGGCATGAGTTAACCTAACTAGTCTGCACTCTCATCCAGCACACAGGTGCTACGAGCAACAGCAGCATTCTGCACTGAAGTCATTACATGCACTCTCAGTACTTCAAACTTTGGAAAAGCCAAGCGAGGTCAGGGACACGAGATGATGCTACCTTGTCTTCTAGCATCAGGAAAGACAGCAGTATCGTTGGTGTTGTAGGTAAATGTGATGAACTCAGCCCGGTAGGTTTCGTTGTTTTTTGTGAAGTTAACACTCCAAGAGTGACCATCTCCAAACTGCACTGCCAGGAGCGCAGCCTGCGTGTCACTGCCACAGATGCTTCCATTGTGTGTCACAGTGGACGTCAAATCCAAGCTTGCATTTTTCTAAAAGAAAAAAGTTTGCACTATTTTCAGATAAGCATTCTTCCCCACGGCAGCCTTATAAACGTGGCAGAGTTAGATGGAACCCTGCACAAGACCAGTATGATTATTTTAGGCTTTTGCACAGTTTTGTAGAACAACCTACCTGACACCAGGCTCATAATGGAGCCACATCAGGTCTGAGAACAGAATTACAAATTTAACTTGGCTGATAAACTCCACTACACCAAAGCACAACTAACATTCGCTCTTTAGCCATCTGAATACTGCTACATTGATCAGTAAAACCCACCTACTGCCTTCTAAGTGCAGTAGGGTACTTGTATTATTAATTGAGAACTTATGCTTAGTTTTAAAATGGATGTTTAGGAAAACTCTCATAATCACCTCTATCAAGAAAACCAATAAACTAAATAAAAATGTATCAAATTGTTTTATCCCAGACTAAATGCAGTGCTCAACAAAAGTTAGCTCCAAATACTTACATAATCACTACTGTTTGTTTCATATTTTATCAAGAATTTCATCATCCATTGTGCATACAAGCACGTAACATTAGAGGCATCCTTTACATCTACTTCCACTGCACAGGACTGGAAAAAGCCTGTAAGATACAATTATTAGCTATTAAGACAGACTTCACACTCATTGCAAAGCAGTACATTATTTCAGACTGGATTCTATTTGTCAGACACCGAACAGATAGCCAGATATCTAATAAATGTTAGAACTAGGAAGCCCCTCATGAAGTTATCAGTGCTAAATACTAATTGAGAGGATCACTTATAGTCTACTTGCCTGACCAAGGCCAACAAATTAAATGAGCATTAGCTTTCTGCTGACTGAAACTGAGCAAACCAAACTGCATGAACACAGCATCAGAACAATGTCGTGCTTGTCGACCAGAGTCTCCGTGTTGTTTCATCAGTGGCATGACTCCAGCTGACCTCTAAGAAAGATCAGTGTGTTTTCACTGCGTTTCTACAATTTCTGGCTCAAAGGACACGGGTGTTAAATTTCATTCAAGGTTTTAGAGAACTTTTATAGTTGGATTTTTAATCCAGCCCGACTCCCAGCACAGAGACTTCCCCAAAACCAGTTCTCATTTGGTTTTGCTCAGCATTCCCAGTCTGCCACACTTCCCTAAAACAGACAGGACTGAAATACGAGAAGAATCATTCCTGACTAACATAAGGTTGATGTTTGTCAGGTTGTCAGGCTCATTTCCTTAAAGTGATGGGAACTGTGATTGCACAGTTCTCTTCAATAACCATTCAAGTCTTCCATCCCTCAACACACAGAATCCGTGGTGCTCCACACTCTGCATCACACTTTACCTTGACATTAAGGACTTCTTCCCTGCCCAATACCAGTTCTCTTCTACCAGCAACACAAAGCTCAGCACACAAGACAGCAGGCTGCACCAGCATTCAAGTGCAGCCTGCATTGTTTGTGCTGTTTGGAGCAGCTTCTGTAAGAAGCATCCAAAGTAGAGCCAGGAGAAACTTGACTGTGTTGACTTTGAAGCAATTGTGCTCAATTAACACATTAATTTATCAGTGCTAGAACAAACCCTAATGTAACTATTGTGTGGTAAGAACACTTCAAACTAAGGACAAGGCAGTAAATGAGCGTTTTCACGTGGTTTATTCTAAACTGGAGGAGTGAACCTCAAGGAGTTCAGCTTCAACAATGGCAGCAAATACATCACTCCACCTGCATAATAGCTGATAACATCACTTAAGCAACACGTTCAGTAACCCAGGCCATACTCTATTTGTTTACAGAAGGCACATAAACGTGCACCCTGTCCCCAACAGCTTACAGAATGACTTATTTAATAAGCTCTAAGAGCCTGGTGGTAACATCCACACTTCTTTTGTTACTGATCCTCAGTAAGCAGGGTAACAGATACAAGCAAGGCACCTGCATCCTGTGAAAGCAAGCCTAAAGCATGGCTTTTCGAGGAGTTACTGTTTGCACACAGATCCATGGTGCAACCAAGAGATAACAGCTCTGCAATCCGCCACCACGCAGCGGCGGAACTCGTTGCCAAGAGTCAGTTTGGAGTTCCAGCAACGCTAAAACTCTTTCTCTTCTGACTCAAGGAGGGATTTGATACTGCACCTATATACCAGCCCTTCTCATTTCACAAAGAACGTGGAAAATCTAAAGTTTTGGACAACCACTGCAACCCAGCCAGGCCAGCCGTGGTGCCTGCATACAAACACAGCTGCAGGTCACGCTGCCTGGCTGTGACCCCACTGAGGCACAGAGTATAAACCAAAGAGGATTTTGATATTAATGCCTCAGCAGTTTGCTTTGTAACGCTGTGATTTTTATTTATTTAACTTTTCGGCGCTGTTTTACATAAGCAAGGCTCTTCCGCCTTCATAAGGAAAAAAGATAAAGGGGTGTGAAATCCTGTGTTTGCTGGGAGCGAGCACAGAGGGAGGTATCTCACAGCACCCTCAGAACGATGTGCTGTCAGGAGCAGTGATAAATAGTAACGGACTGCTCTCTTTACACAGAAAACAGCTTGAAAATAACTTCTCCAAAGGGGATACTTCAATTATTAGATACAACAGCAAAGAGAAATGCCACACCAAGCAGGTTCACAGGGCAGCCCAGGCACACCCTGACCTACTTAGTTACGCTGGCAGCAAGTAACCGCAGCTGTAAGAGCAGAGATGGGCGTTTTGTCCCCGGCAGGAAATGACTTCAGAAAACAACACGTTCCCCACGCTGCGCAGCATTTGGTCTACTCTCAATAACCGAAAACACACGCAGGCAGAGGCGACAAAGCCTGAGAGCAGCCGGCACGAAGCGCAGGGCGGCAACGGGCTGCGTGAACTGCCGCATCCATCGCACGGGAACGGAAAAGCAGAGGCCCAAACCCCGCCGCACGGAGCGGCGCCCGGCCCGGCTCCTCGCACAGCGCTTGCGTAACAGCGCCGGCGGCAGCAAAGCCCGCGGTCACACGGCAGGTTATCGGCACAAAGCGGCCCGGCTCTTCGCAACGCCCGCCCGGCGATGCGTTCATTGGGGGCGTAAAGGGCTGGTTTCGCTTTTTCCTCGCCCTGCCATCGCCGCTTTCACCAAGGCGCTGGGGCGGAGGGCTGCGGCACGACCTGCTGCGGGACGCGGCCGGGGGAAGTTGCCCGAGTTGGGTGATGCCCCTCCGCGCTTCGCACACGGAGCTCCCGGCTCCCGATTAAAGCTTCCTTATTTTCCTTTTATTTTTTTTTTGGTCCCACAAGCTGCTGTTTCCCTTCTGGAGCTCGCAGGCAGCGGGGGCTCCCCGCCCCGCTCAGACCCGGGGAGGCGCCGCCCGGCACGGCACGGTTCGGTTCCGCCGCGCCGCTCCGCTGCCCCGCCGACCCGGCTGCGCTCCCCCCCGGCCGCCCCGCACGCCGGGCCCATCCCCGCCCGGCCCGCAGCTCGGCAGCCGCCCGCGGCCGCGTCACGTGCCCAGGGACAGCGGCACGCGCCGCCAACGCGCCCCCACCCCGCAACGCCGCCGCGCCGCCCGCCCCGCTCACCGCAGGCGCCGAGGAACAGCAGCAGCGCGAGGCCGGCGGTGCGTCGCGGCGGTGCCATGCTGCCGGCCGAGGGGCTCTTCCAAGGGGCAGGCGGGCGCGGCGAGAGCGTCGACGTCGGTCATGTGAGGGGAGGGGCGGCGCCGCCGATCGCCGCGGCGGAGCTCGATCCTGCGGCTCGCGGATCGGGCGCCCCTCGCGGTGCCGCGGGCGGGCGGGTTTTCCCCGGCGGGCGGAGCCGGAGGGAAGGGAGGGAAGGGAGAGAAGGGAGAGAAGGGAGGGAAGGAAGGCCGCCCCGCGTCCGTAGCGGCCCTGAGGGATGTGTGCCGGCTTTCCCACACGAGAAGGAAGGGGTCTGTGGTGCGAGCCCCTTCGAAGAGCGAGGCTGAGGGGATGCGTGTTGTGTGCGGCACGGGAACACTGAGAGCAGGTGAGGCACCCAGATGCCCGGTGTGGAAAAAATAACAACAATAAAGAATGAAGCCGCTCGATTTATTGTATTCATGATAAAGAAATAAATAAAAGGGTGAGAAATGACAACAGAAGTGACCGCCGCTGCCCGTCCTGCTGCAGCCATCCCTGCCCGGGTGACTGGGCAGCACCCCGTCACTGCCCTGCTGAGCACGTCTGCATAGGCATCACTGCGTGTGAGCTGGATGTAGAAGTTAACATAATCTCAAAACATACAGGATTACTCTTTTATTATTGTTGTTGTTGTTATTATTATTTCTGCCTTTGGGCTTAATTTACTGAGAAGCTTCCTGACAAAATCACAGAATCATAGAATGGGCTGGGTTGAAAAGGCCCACAGTGCTCATCCAGTTCCAACCCCCTGCTATGTGCAGGGTCACCAACCAGCAGCCCAGGCTGCCCAGAGCCACATCCAGCCTGGCCTTGAATGCCTGCAGGGATGGGGCATCCACAGCCTCCTTGGGCAACCTGTTCCAGTGCCTCACCACCTCTGTGTGAAAAACTTCCTCCTAATATCCAACCTAAACCTCCCCTGTCTCAGTTTAACACCATTCCCCCTTGTCCCATCACTATCCACCCTTGTAAACAGGGTGGGAAAATAATCATGTTTAACACCCAGGCCTGCGTGTGTTGCAGGCTGCTGGGGAGCATGGGGTAACAGCAGCAGGGCTGGAACCAACACCTGAATGCAGCAGTACTCCTGTCTTTCTCCTCCCCATTGAGAAGAACAAGGCATTTCAGAGGCTGGCAGAAACCTGCCTCTGCTGCCTTTATATTCCCTTATGGTTCTTCATTGCTTTGCTGCAAGGTTCTCTTCATAAAGAGTGATCTCTGAGAGAGCTAAGAGCAATTACAACAAGAAGATTTCAATATTTGGATAGAGGCACTGAAGTGGGCTTTAATTACTGGGAAGAGAAGAAAATGCTTGCTATGTTCCAGGCACTTTGTGTTCTGGAATATCACATTTTGCACTAACTGGAGCATTTACTTCAGGACCTGTAGCTTCATTTCTAATCGCTGATATATCCAAATATCCCCTTGTTCTGAGTGAAGAATCCTGCCTGTTTTGATCTCTCGCTCATACATAGGAAATGGACTGTGAAATGATGAGACCTTCCACAGAAGGAAGTGACAGCCTGACTGCCTTGCCTGCATTATGCTGACTTAGTGGAGTGTGAAATGAAACCAAATGGCAGATATCATAACAAGCAGATCAGGTTCTGTTCAATAGCACAGAATGAAACCAGCATCTGGTGTAGGATTAAAATAATAGGACAGCTTACAGTTTAGTGCAAGGAAAAACGGTGGGAAAAATCTCCCCACCAGAAATATCTTCATTTATATTATCCTCTGCTGGTTTGCATCTGATTGCTTTGCCTTCCCTATACTTCCATCCCTGCCATATAACTGCTTTCTTTTGTGCTGTTACATCACTTTACTGTAATGTGGCTCACGCAGTTTTTATTCAGGGGTTGCTCTATCAGCTGAGACAAATGAAAGTTCCCCTTCAGATCAATGGACAACAGAGCGTGGGCCCAGCCCTGCCTGCAGTGAGGTCAGCACCAAACTGGCTGTAAAAGCAGCTAGCAGAAAGCTGAAGCCTCGGAGTTTGCCCAGCAAAACCTGCGTGCTTCATCCTTCTGAGCTTGGTGGCTCTCCACAAAGGCTGGCTGTGGTTGTGAGCAGCAGTGTGCCCATGCACAGTGACACTCTCCTCTGGCCCAGCTGACTGACAGAAGCTTTGTTTGGTTCCTAGTAAGTTCTGTGGAAAGCCAGTATGTTCAGTACTGGCAGCTTCCAGCCTCAGACAAATACCCACTTATCTTATTTATCATGAGTAATTTATTTGTGCAGGGTTGCAGCTTAAAGGTAGCAGCATTTGTGTGCTAGCAGGGCGTCAGTAGTGTAAGATCCATCTCCTGTGGTCAGCTGTTCTCTAACAATAGAGGCCCGAATGATTGTGACTGTGATGCAGAAAAAATGCCTTTCCTTTTGAGAGAAAGAAATTATTTTGCATTTGGCATGATTTTGGGATCTGCTGACGGCTGTCAAGCTGATCCTGTTCTCCTGAGACATCTTTCCATTTTCCACTGGATTTGAACGTGAGGACTGGGATGTTTATGTACAGCATTACGTTTTTACTGCATGTTTGATGTCATTAATTTCAACAAGGTGCTGTCATGTACAGAACACAGGTCTGCAACACGTTCTGAGTTCTTATTTAGGGTTTGGTTCATACATTCATGCCTAATTTCAGATAGACAGGCTTTTCTATGGCCTTCATTCACCATACATGCTAGATGCCCAGCATATGCTTAATCCTTCAGCTAGTTGGATGTGACATCTGCCATCAGACTTTTCTTAATCCAAAGACCTGCAGAAGGCAATGGATGTCAGAAGCAGAGTGTTTGGTGCTTAATGAAGCACTGAGAATCCCAGTGATTCTGCTCTGCAGGGTGGAGGAGTACAGCTCATGAAGAAAAGACAAAAAGAACACCAAGGACGTGCAGAAGTTACTGCTTTATTCCAATTGTTTTTAGGGGTTCTCCTCGTGCAGCTCCACTTTTGGAGCCGTGCAGCAGCACGGGGATGCGTTGAGATCTGGGTACCTGCAAGAAGAACAGCGTTGCCCAGCACAGCCTGGCAGCAGAGCGCTTCAGCTGGGGCCGTTACTGGGGAGGCACGGCGGCCACAGCTCTACGACAATCACTTTCTATCTAAACTGCCTGAAAGCCGCGCTTCACTCTCGCTCCGAGCAGATGGCGGCGTTTCTGAGTTGCTGCTTTTCTGGAGGAGGTGGTGATGGGAAACCAAACCATTAAATGCTGCTGGGCCAGCAAACTGCTGAGTCAAGACTGGGGCAATCACGTGGAATGCCAAAAAAAGAAACCTTTGTGCTGAGGTGAAGGGATCAGAGCCCAGGCGGCTGCAGAATTTCCTGCGAAAGCCCACTGAGATCTCACACTGTGACACAGCTGGAAAAACACGTTCCCAGCCTGCAGGCAGAAGCAAAGGTAGGGAGGCAGCGCTGAGCCACAGGCGTGTTATACAAGCGTGCTCAAGATGTCATTTTAACCATTTGCTGGCTGAGATATTCTGCCTTGAAGCAGACTTCTGTAAGCAAGCAGTGTGGGTCAGCAGGTCCCTGGCCATCCCACTGCCAGCAGCCCTGTGAGTTGTGAGCGACGAGGATGATGGTTGGGGGTATCTGGTGATGCTCAGGAGACATGACGTGTGTTGCAGAGCTGGATGGTCAGGCAGCTGGGCTAAGGAGCAGCAGCAGATGAGACTTGTGCATTCTGTGAGTTATGCCAATTTGCCTGAGTTAGAGCTGTTCCATGGGGAAAAAAGGACAACTATTTTTCAGTGGGTGGGCTGACAACTCAGTGCATTCTGTAGGCTTGTAGGAGCATAGCAGAAAAATATCAGTAATCAGAAATTTGTATTTTTAGCTATGTACAAGCTGACTTCCTGAGGATAAATGTCAGCTTTGGAGCAGCAACTGCTTTGTGAAGATGCTCAGCTCCACATATTGAGCACCTCCTGCTTCTGCTCTTACGAAAGCATATTGACAGTAACTCGTTTGGAGAAACTTTGGCAGAAAGCTTCATGCTCGAGCAGAAAGCTGCGTCTAAAAGCACAGGGGTGGAAGGGAAATTGCATGATATAACCATTAACTTATTAGGATGTTTTACTGCAGGGCTGCAGCACTCCCCTGTGACCCAGCACGCCGGCATGACCCCTCTGCAGGCAGCCCCCAGCCACACGCCGCATCCAGCCCTGAGCCAGCACCTCTCCTTGCCTTGTCCTGAGCAGCAAAACTTGTGTAGGCAACAGCAGCTATCCTGCTTGCGGCTGTCAGTCTGCTACGTGCTTTTGGAGCTGGGACCTCAGGAATAAAAAGCAAGAAACAAGAGGCAGTGCAGAGTGGCAGCAGCACAACCCTGCGCTCCCGGAACCCCTGGCTGCAGCCTACAGGCAGGCCTGGCCCAGCTCCACATAGGCTGTGCTTGTCTGATGAAGCAGAACTGTTAGACTTATGTGGTTTTGAAAGGACAGCTTTTCATGGTAAAAGATTACTTAAGTGTTTTAACACTGAAATACTTCATGATATTTCTCTTTTCCTCCAGCTCTAAAACAGAGGAGCTTCAAGCTGACAGACAGCCCCGATTTAAGGAGTTAAGCTGAAGAGCACTCATCACTACAAGCACATCTGCTGCATGCCAGCTACTTTCCCTAAGCGTAAGAGGGCTTTAGTTATGGCACTGCCATATACTACTTTACTGTAGAAAGACAGCTTTGAAGTTACTACTTTAGTGTGTATCTTTGGGATACAAGCAGCAGGGGGACAAGTTCCAGTAGATACTTGAAAGCCAGTCTTCTATCAGACATCAGTTACTTAAGCAGAAAAAATAATCACTGCCCTGCAGGTAAACCCATTGCTCCTTTCCCCAGTTCTTTCCGTGTTTGCAATAATGGTGCCCTCTCCCTTACATCCAGAATTCATCTCCCTTACATCCAGAGCAGAAAAAAAAAAAAAAAAAGGAAAAAAACAGATGATCTTAAATCGACTACTTGATTTGGCACCAGTTTCCCTTGAAATCAAGAGATTACTTTATGAAATGCAATACACCTTACTGTAACAGAAATTAGAAGTATTTACTCCAACTATTCACTTAGTAGGACTTAAAAAAATAATACAAAATTCTGTAGGATTATGGAAAACATAGAAAGTCAGAAATGTTCTCTTGTAGTAGGAACTGTTAGTGGAAAGTCATCCCACGCTCCTGTCTCCAGGCTGCAGCAGAACAGAACACCTGAGCAGCATTAGCAGAAGCCGCCTGCTGTGCCTACTTTGAAGCACTGCCCACCCGAGGGATGTTTTAGGATCTCCCTGCATAGAATCATAGAATTGCTCAGGTTGGAAAAGACCTTAAAGATCACTGAGTTCAACCACAACCTAAGCAAACTATGATACTGCAGCACGTGTCTTTAGCACAGCTGGTGGGAGGAATCACTGCTTCCTCTCCTGCAGTTCTCTGTGCTTTCAAACCCTTTCTCTGGAAGCAAAGAATAGAAATAATTCAGGAATGGAAGCTGCTTAGAAAACTCAAGGGATTTTAATGACCAAATGCAAAAGGAACTACTTGGATTCAGGTAGCAAACAGGTATGTTGCTAGCAGAGCACAAGCTGAAGATTTTAAAGAAGCCACAAACATGAGAAGCCCAACATACAGCAGTTTGAGGAAGAAGGCATTTTACACGAGAGTTTATCAACACAAAACTGTTTAATATTTATTAAATGACACAAAATACCTAGATAACAGACTCACTCTCTGAAAGGACATGTATTTACATTATTTACCAACTTTAAGAAAGACTCTCTGTACCCATATCAGACTTGTTATGAAACATTAAAAAGGTTTTGCTGCTTTTTGCATCAACGGATGCAATGGTGACACATGCCCTGTTTGCAAGTCTGCATAAACTCTAACTCTTTGATGCAGTGAAAAAGCACAATTTTATATTCCGGTAGCCGAGTGAAGAGGCTTCTGAGAAGTAACAGGGTTAGTTGTTTTCTTCTTCCCACTCCAGACATACTCTGAAGAATTGTTATACAAAAAGTATATTACATTTTTGAATGCTGCTGTACTCTTACAATTTTAGTGTAACTTTCCAAAGAAAATATTCTTCCTACTGTATGAAATCACTAAAAACAACCCAACAAAGTGGTATTTGGACATGTATTTAGATGCACTGTTTAATTAAAAAAAAAAAGAAGAAAGCATTAGGGCAAATGATATGCTTAGGAAAAAATCAACCAGCTGACTGATAAGAAAAGAGCAGAGACCAAAGTATGAAGCACAGCTAAAGCAACTTAATTTGCTAGGGTTTTTTTTTTTTTTTCCTTTTTATTATCTATTTACTTTGGCACCTTTGTGTAAACTATAGAACAAAACAATGTTTACAACACATTTGCAATTACAGCATTTAAACAAAATGGTCACTTTTTAAACCAGCCAAGACAAAAAAATATTCCATTTACGGGTATAAAGATTAAAAAACTTAAAATATATATTTCTAAGAATAAACTGCAATTTCTTATGAACAAGGTGCTATAAACTGCATGCAAGAGTCAAGATTAAAAATGCGTGGCCAAACAGACAAGCTGTGTTATAGCCAAATGAGCAGTGGTCCAAGCCCACTTGTTTTTTCATCCAGAGATATATATGGCTCAATAGGCAGGCACATGATCCCAGCAAGAGGTTGCAGAGTTGTACAGCCAGTCAATAACTCTTGGCTGCAGCTTTGTCATGAATGAGGAATGAATGAGACCTTAGCAGAAGAGATAAACAAGTTCTCAGGGAAAAGCCATGAAGAATGAGAAGCCTTCTCCCCTCCCTCCTGCTCCTCTAACTCAGCCCACTCAGTATTCTCAACGTCTGCTCTTTGGGTTGCTTTAACTGGATTGCCACTCGGGGCTGCCTCACATCACTGAAGTCTTATGAGAGCTGAGGACATTTTTAATGTAATAATTTCTGCATTTAAGTTACTGAAGTGGATGGGATAAAAATTAAATAGGCCCTTGTACCTGTCTGCTTAGTCTGACTGATTGCAACAAGCTTATCTGATGAGGGAGGATTTTACCAGACCAGGTATTTTTAATGTGTGATGGTGTTTGACTGATTTGCTACAACCAAGTGAAGAGAACCAGTTTGACAGCAATTTCTACAGTCTCCTGTCTCCCAAAGAGTTTATGTTCCTTCTCCAAAACACCATTTTAAAAGGAATCTTTTATTGGCTAAAAATACAAAACATATACAAGAAAAAGGAACGTTGAATGGAAAACAGAGAAGGGTTGTCTTTTTTTTGGAGGGGGGGGGGAGCATTCCTTTCTCCCCAGTGGATCACCATTTGAAATAATACTTAAAGACCTGGCTCTGTTAGCAGAGCAATCTTCAAGTTCTTTACCAAATAATTCTATTAATGCTTTTCTTACGGAGGCAATTGTAGCCCTGGATGCCTACCAGTAGTTATGCTGTAACAGTGTCAAAGGTTAAGGCAGATTTCCTGCAGATCGTGTAAAGAACTGTATTACAGTTACTAGAGGGTGACAGTAAGTAATTCACTAGGAGAAAAAAAAAAAACCACCTGCTCCATCTGTCAACTGAGGACTGTGTACAAAAGCCTGAGAAAACACACAGCTGAAGAAAATACAGAATTAAACAATGGACCAAAAAAGCAGTAAGGATGGGATTTGTCAGATACAAAACGCACACAAACACCACACACACACACCCTCTCTCACATGTAGGCCCCTGAAAGTGGGATCACAGTGATAAAAGTTAGAGATCATAGAGCGCTAAGTTACACTGTCACTGAAAAGAAAGTAACATCTTGCTTACAGGAAATGTCTGGTATTCCCCAGGACTGTTAGTGCCCGAACAAAGATGAGGTTTTTCATTGTGCTCTGCAACACAGCTGATTGTAGGTCTAAAGCTTGGCTGTAAGGAAGAACTGTTACGTAGAGGAGTTACCTTTTCTGTTGACATTTTTTACCCCACGTATTCCTGTCGTACTGCTATAGCAATAAAAAACACAACCTGTTGAAAAAAAGCTCTACATTCAAGTGACTTATTCTCTCGTGTCTTATCAAGATGTAAAGAATGCTCTCTGGTCACCTAAGACAATGTTTTAGATGCCTTACAGCAATACTTAACTATCTTTCTGTATGAGAGGTAGGCTTCTGGGTTCTCGGAGGCCTGCCACATCTAGGGCTGAGTTCTTAAAGCTTTAAGTTAAAGCAATCCAAAGCAGGGCAGTCTTGTAAGTGCCCTGTCTAAACCTTGAGGTTTGTTCAAGTTCAGAATGTTGCAAAGCAAAACAAGTATTAAAATTAATTTGTAGTTTTTGTTCTTATAGCTTTACCACAAGAACAGTGTGGCTTTTCATAAATACCTTTAAATAGATTCTCTTTTGCAGAGTATTGCTGCCAAGAGGTGAAGGCCTCCTACCCATGTCCAGTAAAAACTGTCACTTTTGTTTCCATTATGGCTGTTTTATGCTTAAAATTCCCAAAGGTGAACACTAAGTCTTACAGGCAAGCCATATAAATACAAATCTGAACTTGTTTTGTTGTAGCAGTTATTTAAGAATGATATTTGTATATATATGCCCACACTACAAACTTTTATAAATCATTTTATATTGGTACCATTTTGTCTTAACTGCAACCAAGAACATATTCCACTAGATCAGCAATAAGCGTAGCTTGGCTTATTCCCCATTTCCCCTCCCCTTGAGAAAAATCCTTGTGTGGGTATCGTCCAAACCAATGGTATGTTGCTAACTGAAATGCACTCTGTACAGTAAATTAAAAGTTTGCATGCAGTTTAAGCATTTTAAAGGCTATTTTCTTATGTTAACCTTCTGTTTCCATTTAAAGGTGTGAAAGACATCTGTCATATCAAGGGACTCTCCTCTTCAGAACCAGAGTCAAATGGAATTACGAAGACCAGATACTTTCTTGCAGCTTCCTGCACATCTTACTAAATAACATGCAAAGAGTTCAACAGCATTCTTCTTAAAATGTAAATAGTACTCTTTAAATGGGCATGTTAACCACTGAAAGAAGTCCACTCTACTATACTCCTCCATTACACTGCTTTCATTCAGTCATCGGTAGTATAAAAAGTCAATTAACGGGATTAACAGGCTAGTTTATCCACTGGCAATTGCGTATGACACCAAGTGTGCAGTAAAACAAAGGCCAACATATGTTTATGCAATATAGTTGTACTGATTTGGGTTTTCTTTATCTCTTTCCATGTAGTCTCTGTCAATTAAGGATTCTATTCTCTTCTTAAGGTCAGCAGGCTGTAAAATTAAAGCAGATGTCAGCATTATTATTTTGTAGTCAATGCTTCTCAATTCTACCTAAGCCAAATATCCATACTGTTTGAGATGACTGATGAAACAAATTATAACTTACATCTCTCAACACATCAAAGCTTCTTAAATTTGCAGTGTGCAATTAAAGAGAAAGGTACAAAATTAGATAGGATGCACCACATGTCTGAGCTCAGATGTCAGCAGAGACTCACAGAATCTATGTTATCTAAGTTTTATGTCACTCATCTGGAAAATCAGTTTGCACTCATACACAGTAAGCTGTTCTTTCCCATATTGCATCTGTGGGCCACTTTAACTTTGAGACACCAATGTGTAATTTCCATTCCATAATTTTTTTATATAACACAATCTGTGTGGAAAAAAGCATTGTACATTTATTGGCTACTGATTTATTAAATGATATTAGCCATATTAAGTCAAGGATCAAAATTATTCCTGCGTATCTGAACCAGTTTTTCCATTTCTCTCAAGACTGCATTGCCACTACACTTAAAAAATGGAAGAACATCAACATGCAAACAGCTTAGCTTCACCATTACTACTAACAAACTCCCAGTTCTGAAAACCTTTTTATGTTGTACTAATTTAGAGGTAATATTCACATGAACTAATGAAACTGGCACTTAAAAAAAAATCCTGAAATTATGTATTTTTTGATCCTCCTATCAGGAAAGAAGACACATTTCAGATAGAAGCACTGTTTAACTGAGGACAGGTCAAAGAATGTGAAGAGAGAACAAATTTTAAATACAAGAAATCAGTACTACACCTTTACTGGGAATTTAAGCTGGTTGTAGACCTCTGACACAAGCAAGTTATGACTCAGTGTTTTTCTCATCTTCATAATTCGTACGATGGCCGCATCAATCTGGTATTGCCGGTCCTGGAATACTCTTTCTGTAGTGCTTGCCTGCTCCTCTACCTGATGGATCCATTTCAAAAGAGTTTTAAAAGAGAACACCAGAACTGTTGAATCCATTCTTCTTCATATCTAAGACAAGTCTTATTGTGAGACACTAAAATGTCTACTGTAAAATACTGGACATAAATCCTACAAAATATGGAAGCCCACTGTCTTAAGAATTTGTACTGGGAGTAAAATCTTTGCTTAAATTCTACATTAGCTGGCAAATTCACAGTGAATTTGTTCACAAATCAGTAAAGCTCTAGGGAATGATGAAGGGTGAACAGACCATTCACTTCTTGGAACCTCTGCTTTAGAGATGACTGATATCTAAGTTAGCACAGAAGCTCATGTTTAAATCTCCACTATTAAGTTTGTGCTATTATTCAAAATATATGTGCATCCTTCACACAGATACCATTATGTACATTAAACTGGGAGGAATAAAGCTTATAAACAGGCAAGCAACAAGATACTTAACCCAAGAATAAAATACCTAGATTATTAGAAAAAAACAACAAAGAAATATACCGTTTCTTTCATCTGAATTTGGTTGATTTTTATCCTGAACAGCTTATGTCTGAAATCATCATTGCATGTGAATTTATCACCATCTTCCACATCTTTTCCTTTGGGGCTCTTAGTCAGTACTCTAGCTTTGCCACAAGCCAGAGACTGAAGTGTCCTTCTCAGCTCTCCATCCTCTAAAGCAGAAACAAGTTGTTTAGTATTTTCACTCAAGAACACACTCAGAGCAGTCAGTGTTTTTAGTACCAACCTATCCCAGTGGCTTGCTTTATCTCCTCTAGACTGAACTCCTCTCCTTCATTAAACATGAGCAGCACTAGTGTCTGGAACAAGGAGACCTGAAGTTCTTTTTTGCCCTATCACAGAGGAAATAACAGACATCATTAGACTGTTTTTAGGGGGATCAACTCACTCCTCTATGGCAATTATTTCACTTACAGGATGCAGTTGCTCCTTATTCATTTTAGAATAAGGAAGAATAAGTTATTGATCTCTTCATGTTTACTATGAAATGCAGAGTAAGATGGAGGTCAGATTAGACTACCACACCCACTGACAAAATTTGCTAACGTACGTATCAACTTAAGACAAATTCAAATCCAAAGTGTGCTTAAAATTACAATCTGAAAGACCTTTAATCCAAAATGTAATACAAGCATTATTTCAAAAACATAGTTGCTATTACTAACTTGGATAATATTTGTTTCATCATTAACATTATGAAAAATAAAATGGAGTAAACATTCACAGCTTTCAAGGGAAATCTTCCCAAGATATATTCACACCCATGAAGAAATGATAAAGGGAAATACTTGGAAGCTCTCTAAGAACTGCTATGTTCTTCCAAAACTTGTTTTTAATGAAAAGGCTTCTACGTTTGCTATCAGAGAACAAAAAGCATCTCTATACATTCCTAAGGTATACCCATATTTGGATCTGGCAAAGCCACAGGAATAAGAGAAACAAGATACTCACTTCTTTAAATTCTGCTTTTAGCACACAGTGTCCTAGAGTTGACTGCCACTGAAGTTTCCTACCACTGTGTTTTCCTAAGTAAAAGGTTTTGAAAATCTCCTGCAGTTTTACCATCTAGAAAATAGGGGAAAAAAAAAATCCATGATACCAAACAATTTCTACTTTAAAAGCTCTGCTCTGCAATAAAGTAAGACAAGTTGCAGATGACGTCAAGGTGCACTTCTGTTAGGTTGCTACTTGGTACAGTGTGTGTATATGCATTACCTCTGGGGGCAGATGAACCTCCATAGGCACGTAGGTTGGCCAATAACCCATAGTCAAGATATTCACTGTTAGTTCAATATTGCCAGGTACATTCTGATTTTGCATATACTGCAAAAAGAAACACATTGAGAGAAAACGGTGTTTGTTACATATGTTTTCAGCAAAACTGAAAAGCTAGCCAGAGCAGATATAATGAGAGCACAGAAGGCAATAACATAGGCAATAAAATGCAGGTTATCTAGAAGAAAATTAGAATACAAAAAAGCACTTTTCTGATATTCTAAAAGTGCTTTACAGGAAGATAATAACAAGAGTGATTTAGCAGGGCTGATGTGAAGATGCATCTAGTTATATGTGAATTGAGGAAACTAAGTTGAACTTTGCATATAATCAAAACAGTACAGAACTGCCATAAGTAATGGCCAAAAGGATTGGCCTAGAGGCATTGTTACCTGCTTAAATGACTAAACTTATGAGACAGTCCCATCAGAACACAATGTTATTAACTAGCATTAAAATGTTTTTAATTTTACGGTTCTTCTTGCATTACATTTCTTTTCCCTCTTCTTTTTTTCCCCTTTTGAAAACAACTAGTAAATTCAGCAACATTTTCAAAAAGTACTGAAACAAATTAAGAAATCAACTCCCACTGATTTTCAGTAGGAACTGCTTTCCCTGTCAGATATTTGGGCGCTCCCTTTGAAAGCAATCACTTATATTACAGATAAGTGGAATAATCCAAAAGGAGTTTAACTCAAATTACAATAGAAATGTTTACAATTAAAGACATTCTGAATCTCTTACTAGACTTTCTGAGAATACCTCACTCAAAAAAGCAAGTAAATGAAGGAGCCATGGCAGGCTTTTGAGCAGTACCTGTTTAAATTGTATCATTATGTCTTTTGAAAGCTCCATATCTTTAAACATTCCTTCAAGTTTGCTCGTGAAAGCAGCTCCACATTCTATATATAAAAAAAGAGAAATTCATTCTTAAAAATAACTTTTATCAAATACTATAGAGTAGCTACTCTAAATATAAGAATGCATGTTGAAGCAGGATGACCTATTTCATCAAGTGTTCTTAAATAAAGATCTGGATATAATTATGATAATAAGGATACAAACAACAGGAGGGGGGGGGAATGTTTTAGAGTGGCAGTTACTTTGCAACCAGATTTTTTTCCCCCCCGTGGAAAATGGACCATTCTTCCTTGAACTGCACTGGCAATTTGTCACTCAGACTTTTATTCCAGTATTCATGAGCTTCCTGCCAAACTGTCTCAATGGTGCAACAACACTCTGAGTTGTAAAAATCCTGCTCATACCACCCACAGACTCCATTCTAAAGCAATGAAGACCAGACTACAGAACTGCTGGCCCACAGCTTCATGTTACTGACCTCACATGGAGTAAATATGAAGAGAGGCCATCCTCAAGTTCTCTGAACATATCACTGATAAACTCTGCATGGAATGTCAACTCTATCACACAGGCCAAAATACAGAACGAGCTTCAAACTGTTGGGTTTTGGCTATTACTGTTACAGTTACTAAATTTAAAGCTAATGATTCTCCTCAAAAAACACCAAAAGATTTTTGCTGTCATATGGAGAGGGAAATATAAACAGTATTTCTGAGTAGTCCCATTAGAGTGACTATTTTCAAACAAGGCTGAAAGAACCAGAGATATTTACCATGTTTGAGTTTGGAAAGCATAGATTTTTCAGCATCTACTGAAGCACTCTTCCCAACTAATAGTCTCTTTGCTAGATCTTTTTTATAGAAGGCCTCAAACACATCTTTTCCTGTAAGAGATGAGATTTGACAGTGATCACAAAACACTGGGAGCTCTATATAAACATTTTTTTTTATTAGTATTAAGGGGCTTAATTCAAGGCTCAGTAAAACCAACAAGGACCTTGATGTTAACATTTCAATAGATTTGGAGACAGATCTCACTACAGGAATTATCATTAAACAGCAGTACACTTCAAAATGCAGAAAGACTGCAAAAGTGAATTCAGTGTACCTTTATGTTGCTGATTAAACAACTGTATCCACACAAAAAAGAACACTTACCATATATGAATCTAAATATGATCATAATTTTATCCAGCATTTTTTCAAGTTCTTCATCAGTAGCTTCTTTGTTGCCTGCCCGAAGCTTTGAATCTACATATTTAGCTAAAAGGACATTAAAGAATAAGTTTAGGACATGCCCAGTGTCACAATGAAACAGTACCTTAACGTTTCTTGTTTTTATATCTAGTACTGTTAAATCTTTTGGAAATTAAAGGATCTTGAGGTTGCTTTAATCACAGCTAGCTACAGAGTTATAAATCTCTTTTCAGATAAGCAATTACTGCATCTTAACTTTAGTAGAGTTAAATAAATTTTTTGTGTATGCATGAAATTCTGGTCTGTATTACAATGTTGGTGTAAAAAGCCAACACTGCTATAAGTTAACATGGCTATAGTAGTAAAGATCATGATAAAGAAAAGAAATATGTAAACTAGTATTTAAAAGTATTGGCTACGCCACCCAATTTCTCTAACAGATTGCAGTCTAACTTCCAATTGTTTGGTAAGCATGTGAAAAAGAAGGGCAGAAAGCATCATGCCACAAGCCTGAAAGCACAACAGGCAGCAAAGCCACTATTAGGCATCCAGGCAAACCATTAAGGTTTGCAGAGAGCTAGACACAACACAAAGATGTAAGCAACCTTCTTTGTAAGCTACAGAGGCTCTGTTACCAAGGAGATGATGAGTACAGTGCAATGCCACTTCTGTCCACTTTTATAAAAACATAAAAACAAATATCTATGTGGAGCCGTAACACAGTTACGTAAGCTTCTGAAGAAGTCAAAATTACTAGCAGTATTCTCAAAACTGGAAACCAATCAACTGCTGGAATGCCTAAGTGCTAATAGCTTTCACTTTTCTATAACCTTACCAATTAATTGTAAAGCTTAACGGTAACCTCTGAAGGAATTCACCAGCGTAACAAAGTACAAGAGATCTCTCAGTCTGAGGATGCATTGCGTGTTAAGGCACAATATACAATTCCATCACATCTCCTTAAGCTGCATTGGCAACTCCCTCCCATCCCTCCCACCAAATTCTCACATGGGAAGAGACAGAAACAAAATACCTATAAGTTCAGCTGGCTTATTTGGTCTTTTGTTAATGAATGTTTCAAAGGCTTCTTTCATGGCATTTACAAACTTCTCATTCTTGAGAAAGCAAACATCAATAATATGGTCAACCTTATCTTTAAAATCAAGCAGTTCTTGGACCATGGTTTTGTCTTTTTCTGGATTAATTACTATGGTGCTACCAAATGCCTGCAAAATAAAACATATCTTTCAATTAGCCTGAATAATGAATCTAAATGACAACATTTCTAAAGCCTAAGTTATCTTTGTAATACTTAGGTTTTGATATTCAAGTTAAGTTGCACTAACACAACAGAAGATACAGCATTATAAATGAACTACTACATAATCATTCTCAGAACTTGAACGTCGATTCAAAACCAAATTAACATATTCAGAACTTTTTTTCTGACAGTAAATTTTAAAAGGACGATAACAGAAGTATTCTGTCAGAATCAAAAATAGTTATCTCCCACAGTTAGCTATAAACAAAATAACTCCAAATTTGTTTACATTTTGGCAATTAAACAGCTGATGTTTTCTTCAATATGACTTGAACAGTTACCGTTCTTTACCCAGTAGAATTTGAAAGGCAACACATTAAATGTTTATCAGCAAGTACTGTTTAATTCTCATAGATGCAATAGTTTCCAGAGATCACTGAAGTTCCTGTGTATAAATTCCACCAACACCAGAGTTCTAAAAACAATACCTTTATGTACTCAATCCAGTGTTGCAAGAGAACTTGCACTCCACCTCTCACACGACTGAATAACTGATACAGAAGGGACAGGTCTTGAATTCGGTTTTCATCCAGAAGGTGGTTTAAACCTGCAAAAAAGGGAATTTCAGTAGCAGTTAAAAACCTACACTAATTCAAAGAGAGCACTGCTTATAACTACAGTAAGGAATCTCTTCAGTGCTGGTATTTCTTATTAGTTCCCCTCCCCCTTTCCCCCCCTCCCTGGTTTAAAAAACTATCCAGCTAACAGAAAGAGTAAAATGCAGAATGGCTACTTGAGCTGATTCTTAGGCTACTTCACATATCACATCACTTTTGCCTACTTCTGCTTTACTATTCCCTTAAAATTTGAGGGCTTTATGCTCTACTGATCAGTAGGACAGGTTTCTTGCTAATTCCAGCTGAAAAAATAAATTTTACAGGTGTTTGAAGGCAAGAAGTTTCAAGAAATAACTTCACCTTCAACTTTAAAATTTTTGGCAAAAGGCCTGACACTCAACAAAAAGGCTCTAAGAAAAGTAGCTGGGTAAATACTAAACACTTGATATTCCTCTGAACAAAGAAACTACCCCAGATGTGCAAAAAGATGCTCACACACCTCTGTCATCCAGAATCTGGCAAGCAAGAACCAGGTCACTTCCTTTCTCCACTTTTGATGAACCCACATTTATCTCCAGACCATCTCTCAGAGTAACAAAGGATCATTCTGATTCCACAGATACTGTTGCAGAGCTGTGGCAATGTTCTTTGCAGCTCAAGGCTTTTTTATTTATTTTTTTAAGTTGTATTTTATGAATAGCAAGTAATGAGTATTTCTCTCTTCTGGTAAAACCATAATTCAAATGCTACCCCCTTACCTCTCAGTGTCCAAAATAATACTTAACACATTGAACTGAACAGAACCCTAATTTAGTTTTCATTTTCTTTTGTTGTGTATGTGAAAACCACCATTGTGGCCCTAACAAGAAGAACAGTACTTGCCTGCTTGCAAAATGGTCAGTGCTATTTCATGAACTGAGTTGCAGATGGCATTACAGAATGATGTAAGCTTGTGTCCTCCCCCAGCATTTGAATCTGTCACTTTTTTTTTTCCAGTACAAGAACTGAAAGCCCCAAGCAAAAATTAGAAACGTTTCTATAAAGAAGAAAGATTACCTTTCTGGAGAATGGCTGTTAAATGTTCACCTAGAAGTTGCTTTTCTACAGTAGCAATTAGTGGCTTCCTATAGAAGAAAATGTTTAGAATTACTTTTCTTTTTTCCAGTACTGACAAATCCATTTTTTGAGATGATGTTAACTAGACTTGTCATCGGGAGTGCTCTTATTATCTGTGGCCAAGGACCTAAAATGGGAATACACATATTTATCCTTTTTCCTTCTCAGTGAATGTTTTTTTTGCCATTTGTTGACTGAGGAATTAATTCTCATATTAAGCACGCAGTGACCTCTAGGCAGCTGGACAATGATTCCACCAGTGAAGAAGCTGAACAAGAAGTCTGTGAAAGAATACACCTTTTCCTGCTTTGTGGGAGATTTGCCTTGGGAGCAGGAAATAAAGACATCTCATGAACCAAGAGGTATTCAAATGAAATAAGAAGCCAGCCACTGATAATGGTGTGGAAGAAGGAAGCCACTAAATGAGCCCAAGTTTTTAACAGCTTAAGGAAGTAAGAAATCAAAATTTAAGTTTAGCAGCAAAGCACCTTCCTCACTGGAATCCTTTGTACCTGCTTTTTAAGAAGTTGCTAATACTTGCTCGTAGTTTTATTATAGCGGTGAGCACAGCAACCACAGCTTTATGTTAGAAGGACATTTCTCATGCCCTACAGCGATGACTTCCCCTTGGTTTATATTCAGGGACAGGATTTCCTCAAAAAGACTGAAGGGTGTCATTACTCAGTATCTCACACTCCATAACAAACATGCAAATATTCCTTTGTAAACATCAAAAGTTTTTTTACTTGAGAATTCTCTCAAATAAATTGGCCCTATCTTTTTCAGGTAAGATAAAAGCTGATTATTTGCATTTCAGGAAGATGCTCAGACTGGGAGTGGCAGCCTCTATTTCTCCAAGCAGATACCCAACAATGTTTAAGTCAAAATTAATAGTGGCTTAGAAAAAAAGAGTAGCAGATGAGTCAACCAAGACAGTGTTTCATCATAACCAAGAAATTTTGGGGAACAAGAAGCATTTGATAGTCAGTCAATAACTGAAACAAACTGATGGCCCTCAAGAAAAGAGCCAAAACAAGCAAAGAGAGATTGCACTTACTGCGTGCTCTGATCCAAATAAGTGATTATCCTGTCTGCTTCTTCTTCCAAGCGCTTGTTGACATGGTGAAGATATTCTGGAACCTGAAAATGCCAGCATAGTTTTGTATGTTTTAAAAATCAGGAGAGGAAAAAAAATCAGTAATACTGGCTGACAGCAGCAACAGATCCAGTTCTAAGGGGCAATCATCAGCACTCTGAAGGCAACTCCAAGTGAATTTGCTTTTCAGACTATGATAAAACATGCAAGGCACATTATGGCCCAACACAATACGTAATGCAGCAGAATAGTTCCTCTCCTTGAAAAACACTCAATTATTAGGTATAATAATATTGTTAAGCATTCAAAATACCTCACGTTCCTGCATAAGCCTCTGTCCTTCTGCTGCATACAGACGGTTAGTTTCTTCCAAGAATCGGTGCTCAAAAGAATCTTGATAAATCTAGAGAAACAACACAGCGATCCACGGTAAAGCTTACTAAACACTAAATAAGAGTAAGATATTATTTAAAGTTAACACAAAAGTTTACTCACCTGCAAGTCAGAAAGCATGCTCAGAAGGCTTCGCAGTAAGCTCCTATCAATAGCCTCACCATTTCTTTCTCTCTCAATCAGCAGAAGAATGCCATCAATAGTTTTGTTCTGAACCTTCTGATCACTGATTATATGAGTCCTGAACAATTCTAGCCCCATATCCCTAAAAAGAAAATAAAAATTATTTAATAAATTAAGAATCACCTCTAAATAATACATTAATAAAACAAGACCTAGATCTAATAGAGAGCCCAATAGCTTTCTCCAAATTCCTCTGCACCCAAATCACTTAAGATGGATAAACACATACATACTAAAATAAATAATGATAACATGCCAGCAGTAAACTACAGATTTTGAAGACCAACGCACACATTTTTCCTAAATAATCGCTGAACTTTTGCAGCATTTTCTTTTTTACTTGGCAGATGACAGAAAACTGTTTGAACAGCAGCCTCCACAAGGAGAGGAGCATATCATCCTCACTCCAATACATAAATTGTTGGGCAATATTCCTTTTTGTCCATCGCTTCCTCATCTTTATTTCTCTTCGGCAGTCCTTAGAAAAACTCAGTGATTTGAAAGACAAGAATGGATCACAGCTTAAGGCATCTCAGTTCAAAATGTTCCATGAATTTGGAAATGTGATTGTGGACATTTCTAGAAAATTCAGGCCCTTCATCCATCATTCTTTTATTCTGTGGCAAAGTAATTTGCACAGCTTAGCTCCCAGTCAAGAGCCAAACACAGTATGGTTATGGCATTAATTATTAGAACAAGAGGGAAAATAACTTGCTCTTATTCCAGGTAACTTTTCCCCTTCAAAAGCGTTCAATGAATATTACACGTGTAAAAAGCAATACCCAAACAAGCCAAACCCTAGCACATCAGTTGCTGAACATGAATACTGTTTTATATTGCACAAACTGGATGCTGATATCTACTTAGCTGAGACTTTCTATCAGTTATTCTAGAAGAATCTGCAATTCACGGTAAGTACATTAAAATGGAAGAAGGTGTGTCTTCACCATCTAATTTACAGGTCAGTGGAAAGTACTTTGCCAGACAAGTGACAATTTAAATAACCCCCCCATAATGTTATTCTTTGTGCTCTTACCAAATAGATGGCAGCATCGAATTCTGAAGTACGTAAGTTCGGTCCAAGAACAAAAAAATACTTCTAATCATAATCTGGTATGAGAAGAAATAAAAAAAAACCACAATTATTTCACTCTTGAAACTGAAGAGCAAAACAAATGATGCTCAATGACAACAACAAAGAAATCCCCAAGTGGGGTTTCAGGCAGTTTGTTCAGAGCGCGCTGCCAACCCCAGAGGGACATTCAGTGTGACACTTAGCATTCTTCTCCTGAAAAGAATAGCTTCTTTCATAATAGGTACAAACAGAAAACAGCCTGCATGGAAATAACTGTTCCGAGTTGTGTTGTCCCCCCCTCCCTGCTCCAGTGTCACACCATATCAAGAAATACACTACTGTATCTTCAAGGCTCTATTTCTAATGTACTAGGTACAATGTATTTCACAAAGAAGCCTTATCAAAATGTAAGACAATGTCTCAGAAGCACAGTGTGTTGGTAAGGGAACAGAATTAAGCAAAGCATCAGCTGGACTAGTAAACTGCTTTTCTTCACAAAGAGAAAAACTTACCATTTGTCTGCAGTGATCTTGCCAACATTTGTCTATTTTCTTTAGAAAAAGAACACTATCCAATGAATCCGTGAAGAAATCATTAAGAAAATTATGATTAATAGATTGTATTAGCATTGAATTTAACTTAAAAACAAAACAAAACAAAAACCACTTAACAGTACAACAAACTCATCTACTACCAAGTAGAAGCACCTGATTTCTTTCAAGGTGTTTAATTTTAATGAAGGCCATGGTATAAACAAACTATTTTCAATAATGACAAACCCAAACAATTCCAACTTATTTTTTTTTTTAAACCTAAATACTTCTGAATGTTTTGTCCAATGCCCCAGCTTGGAGAAGACGTGCAGAGAGCACTGAAAACCCACATACTTGAAACTCCAACAATCCACAACATACACAAATTGCTCCAAAAGTAATGCCTCTTATTTATTTCCACAGAAACAACCAGAAGGAGCACAGTAACACTAGCTGATAGAGGAAAGTCACAGCTATAAAACACTGTGTTTCAACAGTCACCACCACTAGCTCTGCACTTGCACCAGCCATGAACAAGAGCCTGCATGCCACACTCATAACTACCTGCACCAGCAGAGGTGACCTCTGTCACTGCTGCTGAAATGCACCACCCAGCCCTCACTGTACTCACATCCACTGTTTGGTCTCCATCAACGTTCAGCAAATGTCAATGAATGTCAATGGGTGCATTTTTTTCCTGCATGAAGGGATTCAGTTCCAGCCTTTTGCTCCTTACACACTCCCCTGTCAGATGTCATTCTGTCAGAGTGCCCCTCTGCTGCCATCTGTCACACAGCCACACAGTGTAATGGGACCTGTGGGAAGGTTCAGCCTCTACTGCTGTACCATCACCATAAAATATGAGGCATTACTTTTAGAGCAGCCCCACTACATATAGCTACTGTAACTTCAGCTCACATCAACAGGTAACATCAGGAGATAAAAATTTGTCCTCAAAGTTCTACCTGTAACTCATCTTGCAGCATAATTCTGGTACCAACCCAAACCCACTTAATAAGATCTCATTCTGATGCACCTCCAGACTTCTCTAGATGAAGTATTCTGATCCTCTGAACCAGTACCACCGCACCTCCCCAGACCAGTAGGACTTTTCAAACAAGACAGGAACTAGCTGCTCCAACTTTCCTATTTACCTGAACAAGGCAATTTGAGCATGTGATACAATGAACAGTCTTTGAAGTCTTACTCCGAAGTCTAATCTGAACTTCTATAAATGTCAAAATGTTTCCTATGAACCAATGAAACTTTCTCAACAAGTTTGCAGATGGTTACAGATATAAAGGAATCAGAATTAGTCTTTGTGAGGTCCTACAAAAACACAAATAGATCCAACTATACAAAAACCAGAAATTCAGCTCACCATAGCTCAGTGTCATGAACTACTTAGAGAAATCCATCACTACATACTGGCAGGTAAAAACATTGGCTTGTCAACAGCTAAAAAAGGATATTCTCTGAACTGGTGAATTTGTGCTTTAATGTGATCTTCACAGATTTGTCTCAACTGTTTGTACAAGTTTGCTGAAATCTTGTAGGAGCAGAGATTTTCAACAGCCTGAAATAAAGAGAAAGCGATAGTAAGAAGTCTGTGCTCTCACATGTGGTTTTACAAGGACAAAAAAAACATGGGCTTCTTCTGCTTCTCACTCAAAATTCGTCATCTTCTGATTGTAGCACTTCACATCTACATGCCAAACACCAGAGATAAGTGACACTGCAATGGTAAGAGGCAAAGGAGAGCTGTGCCCTGAGCAGCTTAGAACATAAGAGCTTATTAATTTCAGTGTACAGAGCATGCCTATTCCATTACACTGAAGCCCCCTCAAATACTTGCTAACAGCTCACACAAACTGTTAAATAGCTAACAGCCACTGTTACAAGCACAGCAATAACCAAGGCAGTTCATCTGTAATCATTGCTGGGGTACACAGCACTTCTTGATGTAGATAGCACAAGTGCAGTCAGTAAATATGGGCTCTGTGACACAGCAAAGCTGAAACAAAAGCCAGCCAACACGGCCAACAGGAAAATCTTGCATAAGCTCATCAGAAAGAAACAGGTACAGCAAGAGTAAGCACGACAATTAAAGTTGAGCCAGCATCTTCTGAGCATCAATGTACAGAAATGTGAGCCAGGTATGGGACATCTGAATTAGGATTATTAGAAAAGCCAGAAATTGTCAAAATACACAGGTCTTAGTATTTGTAAACAGCAATAAATTCATCTGTCTTAACACATAAGGAATCCCAAACAGGTACAACAATACAATAGAACACATTCTAGATTACAGTTCAAAGTAGGTTGTGAAGGACAATCAACTCTATTGTGCTGCACCACCCATTGGGTTGGCTCAACATTAATTCCCAAGATCTGCTGCTGCTTATTTGCTGTTTTGATTTCAGAAGGAAAAGATGATTGAAAACACCAAGTTTAAAGAAATTGATTAAAGTTCCACTAAGTGCAATAAGCAGACTACTACTTCTCCAGCTTCCTTTGGAGAAGTCAGCAGTGAGCAAGAAAGATGGATGCTTCTCACTTGCTAGTTGCCTGCACAGCCCCTCAGCCTCACTTCTACCCAGCACTCCAATCCCAGCAGCTATTTTGCTGTACTTGAGCAGCAGGTGAGAGCTCCTGCTCAGCTCAGCCACTTCAGCTGAACATCCTCCTAACCACTGCCTATCAATCCAAGTGCTATTTAACCACACTGCCACAAATCCTTAGAGAGCTTGACCTTCTTGCTGCAGACAGAAAAACACACCTATTAGCACGTACGAGCACGTGCTTGTTTCTATATAGTGTTCATATAAAGCTGTGCTTTTCCATTTGTGCATCAGAAATCCCAAAACGTTAAACACAAGGCATGTATTGGAATACCAAATACAAAGCCTCTGCATCTTCGTTGGTAACAACCATAAAAATATTTTAATTCGTGAATTCTGCCCCACTTACTGGCATTACAATGAGGATTTTTAAGAGGACAAACTTTCTAAGCATGCAGACAAAAGTTTTAGCAGATTTGCTTTATGAAGCACAACACTGCTGCAACGCTACTGACAATTTTACTGCTAGAATCACAAGACATTATTCTATACAAGGAATTCCTGATAACTTTAGTAGCTGTAATTCATCATCAAGTGGTTTTATTCCGAATTACCAAAATAAAACCTTTCATCAAGACATCCGTGTCTTACAGATGGTCAAAACATCTGAACCCATGAATTCAAGGTGAATTCTAGTCTTTTAATTAAAGCATCCAAACGAGGGCTTGTGTGAGGAAAAGCAGGAACAAAACAAGCACTGCTTTGATGAAGGAACCTCAGAATTTCCCAGAAGTACTATGATTAATTTAGGGAAAAAAAAAAAATTATAGATATGGTACCAAAGATCTAGATCTTTACTTTCTGGTATTAATAAAAGGATTGTTCCAATAAAGCAGCAGTCGGTTCCACAGAACTTCAGCTATTCACAAGTGTTATCTCTCCTCTTGGATGGGGAACAAAGCAAGTGCAAAACTAACAGCCCACAAACAAAACCTTAATGTTTGCTCAGTGAGGTTTTCCATCACAGACAAGAGTGAAACTAAACAACTTAACTCCATTGAAAAAAAAAAGGCATCCTATTTTGAGGTGTGCAGCAACAGCTTCTGCAGCTTCTGCAACTTCCTCTATGCTTGGATAATGGTGTCTGCCAAGGCACATTTGGAATCAGATCCATTTACCAAACAGTTGTTCAGAAATGACATCAGTAAGCACTAAAACCACTGGTGATTCCTAATCATTTTAAATCACATTTTTAGATTTATAAAAAGAATAGGAAAATAATCATACTTGACTGCACACTATTTTCTTGAAAGGTATCTACATTATTATGATGTTATAGAGATTTTAAAGAAAAACCTTATCCTTTTCTGCAAGTAGAAGCATAATTAAAAACTAAGGCTGTGATAAAAACCAGCAGGAATTTAAGTGGCAACTTCACAGCAGATACAAAGCTTTATTAACAACCTGGCATCTTTAAGCCATTTTGAACACACTGCAGTACTTGACTGGCAGTTATCTGCCCTGCTCTTCAGTCTACACCAAGTTATTTTAAATACGAGCCAACGCAGCGGTCTGTACTTCATTATTAGTTTCACCACTGAGCATTATAAAAAAGTGTAATAACCTTAAAAATGCACCAGACCAAGGAACTTGGCCTGGGAGGATCCAGGTTTCATGAGGAATGCAACTTATTTTTCCCTCAATCTGATCCCAAACCTTGTGCAAACTGCATTTCTGTCCCAAGCTTTTCACAGAAACCAGGCAAATCTAATACAATGTTTATCAGAACGGGGAGGGAGTGAGGAAGAACAAACTCAAAAACAGATAAACAGAACGATATATAGAGAAACAGAGCAACCAACAAGGTAATAAAAGCTTTCAAAGTAATTAGAGTGCTTCCCTGTATCAAGCTTAAGCAGTAAAGCCACTAAAACTCTAAGTTCAGACCAGGTGAGGAGGAAGAAAAGTCTCCTTATCACATTCACCAAAAAAGAAGTTGAGTTTATAAATAAAATATTATGAGACAGAGTTTAAGATTGACCACTTCCTCAAAGGTTTAGGGCAAAACAATCAGAGCTGTTGCTGAAAACAAACAAAAGTGAGTTCTCACTTGTTGGACATAATGCTGAGTGACAAGCAATTACAGACAAACTGAACCACGACAGTATTATATTTAGTTTTAAAAAGGCAAACAAAAAAAGTTGGTTTTCAAATGAATTCCTTATGAGCCTCAATCAGAGCTATAAGTAATCTTTTTCTTACCTAAACACCACCTTTTGAGGACTTTCATATTTCTCCTTTAGCAGCTACACACCACAAACCCCAAATACAGCTACCTGCCTTATTTATCAACAAAACATCACGTTCTTGCCATTACTGTAAGATCAAACAACAGGAAAAGACACCAGAAAAACCCCAAACCATCAAGAAAATCCCTCATCTCAATACTTCTGCTTAAAGCACTTACCTGATAGAGCTCCTCTAAGTTGTACTTAATGGAAGTACTGTTCTGGATTGCTTCTACGGCTTCTTTCAGTTTTTGCCAGGTTTCATCTGTGTAGTTTTCAGGCAATTTGGGTTTATCTTGAAAAAAAATTATTTTATAGAGTTTGAGAAAGCATTTAATAAGAGTCAAATATTTTACCTTTTACTAAAAGCACAAATATAACTCAGAGAGGAGAAAAGTATAAGTTGAAGTTCTAGGTTATAGTTCACACATGAAAAGAAAGCAATAAAGCAAAAGCAGCTTCTTACATTTGAAATGGCAACTATAAATCCAGCATTACTCTTCACATACACATGACAAGAGCAGCAGCCCTAACAGTCTGTGATTGTATTGAAAAATACAAATAAAAACGAATCCAAGTAACTCGGGGAGCACTAAAACCCTGGAAGGTTGCTCTGGATCTTTGTTACACTCCCTTCTAGTTTCAGAACAGTACAGCTAACAGAGTGAAAACAAAACAAAACAACAAAATGATGGATTAAGAAATACGGAGTTGTGTATAGCATACTTTTAACTAAATATATGAATTTAACTCTGCATTAACACTTGGAAAGAAACTCCCAATAAATGTGCATAGAAATAGTGTAATACAGGCTTTACGGTCACAAGGAAAATCTCTGGATTTTGAACTGATCTATTTATGTCTCTCTTGGGTTTGGCCAGAGGATATTTGTACAGTTAAGGCCTCTTTTAATGCTCATACAGCTCAGGCGTTTGCAGATTTTCCAGAAGAGGCCCTGCTATGCAGTGCCCACAACAAGACCAAAGCAATTACCACGGGATGAAAAAGATTACCCACGTCACATTCTCAGAAAACCAGACTATTTTAAAATTACGTGTTCTCAAGCTAGCTCAAGTGACCCCTTTTGTTGGGTCACAGAAGTTCCCCAATGCAAATGGGAAAAGGAAAAAAATTAGGAAGTCAGATGCATATCAGTGTCACCAACAAGTGAAGCTGACTGCATTCAAATGGACTTCTGCAAACTTAAAAGTAAAACAAAACAAAACAAAACAAACAACCAAACACTTCAAAGCTTTCTGATTTCTCTTGGGGATAAAAAAAATCCTACTTCTGCTTACTTTCCTCCCCTATACATTTTCCTCCAGCACTGGCAATATCCCAACACTGACTGTACCACACAGAGACAACTCACTACAACTGGGACTTGCTCATTTTCACTAGCCTGTAATGAATAAGACATACAGGAGTTAACACCAAGATTCTGAATCTCAGGAAGTTGTAAAGGATGTGTATTGCTATTGCAGACAAAAGCACACTACGATTATTAGTCATCTTGGCATGTGAGCATAAATAAAAACCAGAGATGCAGATTCTCAAGACATTCTTTTTAAGGAAGTGACTCCAAGACCAATTCATAAGCAATGATGATTGCAGCACCACGCCATCCATGACATGTAGTTAATATTTAAAGTGTGAAAAGTTGCCTTCTCTTAAAAATAACGGAGTACACGCAGCAGTGGCATTTATTTCTCATCATCATGCATCCTAAATACGATGTTTAAAACAACCAAATGAACAGATGGTGACATGGCAGCAAGGGACCAGGAACATTCTTGCAAGTTAGGTGGTCCTTAAAGCAAGAAGTCATGCTAGAACATTACAGTGGTTCAGGTAATCCTAATTGTCACCTTTTGTGCTATCTCTGCAGCACATTTGTATCAACTGCATCTTTAGAAATAAGTTTTAATCTCTGTGAGATCTTTAAGCCCTCTCTTCTCCTACCCAAACATACAAAGAAAAATAAAAACACTCAGGAAAGTAAGTTTTTGGATTACTGTAAAAGAGAAGAATGGGCTAACAAGAAAACCTCACCATTTTCAGATGTTTTAAGGGTAAAAACTAAAGAATTTTAGCTAGGCTCTCTGCCTTCACCTGGTTCAATTTTGTTCATTAGAATATCACGCAGCATTCATATCAGAAAGCTTCGTTTCCCTGCTTCAGTTGGTTTCAAGTCATAACACTGGAAAAGCTCCATCATGTTGGTTGAGAAATTACAAAATAGTGTAAATTTGAAAAGAAAAAAGGAAGACTGTATTAAAGTAGAAAAAGATGTTAAAAAAAAATTAAACAGTAAGTATAGCAGTGAGGATATGCAGGAAAAATAACCCGCAGAAGTCTGAACTACCTACTTTGAAGTCAAGTAGGGGAAGCAGAAAGGAAATCCACCTTAATAGCTGGATAATCACATTAGTTTCAACATTTAAAACTAAGCACAAGCAGATTAACCTACAAACAGACAAAATACACATGGGCAAGACGTGTAGATTCAAGTCTATTTTTTTTTAAAAGTGTATTTTGCAAAGACTTACCATAAACAAGGCTAAAACATACAGTATGCCCTGAGTCGGGATTACTGGAAAAGTGTTTTCAAACTTTAGAAGTTTGATCAAAGGTGATTTACACACTTAGGCAGTAAAACATTTCCTTCAACAACTAGATAGGGCCTTCTCCTCAACACAGTGAGAACACGGGCAGAACAATAAGCCCAGGCAGGGAAGTCTGGCTCAGGATGTGCACGTGATCGGGCAAGGATGCATCATCAACATAACCCCCCTTTACATAAGCATAGGAACGTTTACCACAGAAAAGCATTTCCTGTAAAACCTGGAGCTATTTGAAAGACAACCGGTTTTCACGTTGAAAACAAAACACAAAGTCGAGCGTCAGCTCCACAGAGATTGTGAGGAATTACAGGCTGTTACCTTTAAAGTTCTTGATCACTAATTTCTTAGCGGAGCCAGGTTTACTGTTGGCAAAACTGGACACAGTAGAGGAGGCAGCTTTGGTCAGGCCATTGGCGTGATGCCCTACGGCCACTGAAGAAATTAAAAGGCTTTTATTTTTGAGCTGCTGTTGGTGCTGCTGTTGAGAAGAGGCAGCGGGAGAGGAGGAGGAAGAAGACTCTTCCGCCATCTTCACATCGAGTCCGATAAAATCCAAGGAGTCCTCAAAGCGCAGCTTCTTCTGGAGGTGATGGTTGGAGGAGGCAACCCCTGAGGAGGAGCACGAAGAGGCGGTGATGACCAAAGAAGACGAGGAGGAGTTGTTTTTGGAAGGAGATGAGGAACAGGAGGAAATGGAATCGAATTCCTCTCTTTCGGAGTTGCTGTTATTTAACTTTCTCTTCTTGCAGGAGGAGCTGCTGCCGCTACTACCATCGGTGGCAGGCCTGACCTCCTGAGCTGCAGTGGAGGGGTTGGGGGAAGAGAAACCTGTGGGAAACATGAACACACAGAAATGAGCAGGCTGAGGGGCACCAAATCCTGGCGGTACGACAGAGAGGAGAGAGGTTCCGTGTCGGCCTCCGGCGTCTCTCAGCGGAGTCCTTTAACTCCTCTCTCCGTATCAACAGAGTCCCTCGGTATTCCCCCTCCTTCGCCTTCTTATCCCTCGGAGGAATCACCGGCTCTCCTCTCTTCCCCTTCTCCTTGGGACTTTCTTTCTCCTCGCAGCTCTCCGTCTCCCGCCGCCACTCCTCCCTCAGGGCAGCGCCTCCGCCCCCGCCTCTCGCCACCCGCGGGCTCTTCTCAGCGCCGTTCTCCGGCCGCGGCGGCTCCCCGCAGCCCCGCCACCACCTCTCCTCCTCCGAGCGGCAGCGGGCGGGCCGAGCGCGGCCCCGGCGGCCCGGCCTCAGCGCGGCCCTCAGCGCGGCCCTCAGCGCGGCCCCCGCCGCCCGCTCCCCGCGCGGCTCCCGCCCGCCCCTCTCCGCTGCCGGGGCGCTGCCGGGGCGGCCGGGCCCGGGGCTTGTTATTGTCAGTGCGGGCGGGGAGGGAGCCTAAAGATGGCGGCGCATCCGCTCGCTGTGCATGCCGGGGCGCGGCCGCCAGACGGGCCCCGCTTCGGCCCCGGCGGCGCGACCCTGCCCGCGAGGCCCTTCCTCCCAACCGCCCCTCCCGTCGCTCCCGCGCTCGGCCCCGCAGCCGCCGCCGCCTCCTCTCCCCGGCCGCCGTCTCGCTGCCCTCTGACCTACCGGAAGTGATCATGGTTGCCGGCCGCTCTAACGGCCGCCCGCCGGACCCCCTCGCGCGCCGGCGCAGGGCGTGGCGTACGGGGAGTGGGCGTGGCCAACGGGCCTCGGTGGGCTCCGCAGCGGCGCGATCGCTGCTGACGTCCGGTCCGCGCGCGGGGTTGTGCGCATGCGCGGGGCGGGGCGGGGCGGGCGCTGCGGCTGCGCTCAGGGCTGCGGCCGTGCGGTGTTGGCGGGGAGCGCCGTCGGTGGGAGACGCGGTTGCAGAGGAACGCGCTGCCGGTCGGGAGCGGGTAGCGGCCGGTCGGGGCCGTGCCGTGCCGAGACTGCCGCTGTGGCTTCGCTATTTTCCCAATGAAACACGGGGGGAGGGAGTTGAAACGTTTGTTGATTACGTGTATCAGTATTGTATCGTGTTTTGGTCCTTTCCTGTTTTTTTTTTTTTTCTTTTTTCTTTAGTACTGCGTGTGAGCTGACTGTGTTTCGCTTGAATAAATTATGCTGTGCGTGATTTTACTTTGCGTGGCTGCTGTCATTTGTAAGCATTGCTTTTTAATTAGTTCTGGTGTCGCAGTTGATTCATTGCTTTGCTATAGAAAAGGAGCTCGGATGGTGGCCTGGCCTTTTACATCCTCCACGCCAGCAGTGATGTTTCCATCTGGATGTCAGCCTGTGTGGCTGTATGGCACTTAGCTGCTTGCAGAACAAACCCTGTCCTGGCTGCTTTTCAAAAAGACAAGGAGCTGTTCTGTGTACTGGAGATGGAATTACTGCAGTTGATTTGTTTTGATTCCAATGAATGCTGTGCTTGTCTTCACTTGGGTCCACGTGGGTTGATGGCTGTCATCCCCGTCCCTGAGGTGTTCAAGGCCAGGTTGGATGGGGCCCTGGGCAGCCTGGGCTGGTATTAAATGTGGAGGTTGGTGGCCCTGCGTGTGGCAGGGGGTTGGAGATTCGTGATCCTTGAGGTCCCTTCCAACCCAGGCCGTTCTGTGATTCTGTCATTCTGAAGGACACGGCCAGTGCCTGCAGAGAAGGCTGAGAGGGCACCTCACGGCTGCTCATCTGAAGGGCAGGGCTGAAGTAGGTGGGCACGGGTCCTTTTCAGAGGTGTGCAGCGATGGGCACAAACTGGAACCCAACAAGTTCCGTACAAACATGAGGGAAAACCTTCACGTGAGGGTGGCACAGCCGCCAGAGACGCGGGGGTTCACGTTCTTTGGAGATACTCAGACTGATGGACCCCATGCTGTGCCACTGCTATACGGAACTGCACTGCGGGACGTCCTGAAGTCCTTCCGGCTCTGTGATTGTGAAACATCTCGGAAAAGAGCGCTGTGTCAGCACGTGAGCAGCACATTGCTCTTCCGGTGAGCGCGGTCCCCCCGCGGCGGTGATACGAGGCACAAAACCAGCCGCCGCGCAGCGCGACAACCGCAGCTCGCTTTGCCGTCCGTGCGCATGCGCAGAGGCGCCGCGCTGCCTGCTGGGAGTTGTAGTCCCGCCCGGCGCCGTGACGCCGCGCGCGTTCCGTTGTCATGGAGCGGCGCGACAGGCCGTAAAGCGCGCGGCGCTTCCGGCTGGCGCGGAGGGGAGGGCCGGGACCTCGTGTGAGGGAGCGCGGAGGCCCGGCAGCCCGCCCCGCGCCCGCCGGTCCACGCCCGGCCCAGGCTCTCGCTCGCCCGGCGCCCACCGTCCCAGGATGTTCAAGAAGTGAGTGGGGCCGGGGGGAGGCCGGCTGTAGGATGCCGGTTTGGGCCCAGCGGGTCCGCTCGGCCGGGCCCGGCGCTCCGTCCGCCGCAGCGTTGGGGCCAGGCGGTGCGGAAAGGCCCGCCGCGCTCCCCCCGGACCCTACGGCCGCCTTGTGTGCGTCCTCAGCCTCATCCCGCGCTCCGCCTTCCGACCCTTGGTGTCAGAGGAAAGGGGGGGAAGAAGAAAAAAAAAGCAGTTTGGGGCGTTGCGTTGTCGAAACTTTGTGGTAACGCAGAGCGCGGGCGGGGGGCTGCGGGATCAGATTGGATGGGGCCCTGAGCAGCCTGGACTGGTATTAAATGTGGAGGTTGGCGGCCCTGCATGTGGCAGGGGGTTGGAGATTCATCATCCTTGAGGTCCCTTCCAACCCATTCTGTGAGAGCACGGCTGGCCGAGGCTGTGAGCGGTGCTGCTGTCAGCGAAAGCCGCCCCGCGAGGCGGCGAATGGCGCTGCGGGGCGCTGGGGGCTCCGTGGGCCGCTCACACTGCTGGGGTAACCCTGTCTGCCCCGCCCAAGGCCGGCGTCACGGCCCGTGTAAGGCCGTACCTCAAAGCTGGGCACGAATATATTTAACGAAGAATGCTCTGTGAGTGCTGCGTCGTTGGGCAGCGGATTCTGTGTTTCTGAAATGTTTTTGCTTGGCAGATTTGATGAAAAGGAGAACGTATCAAACTGTATCCAGCTAAAGACTTCAGTTATTAAAGGTATTAAGAACCAACTGATAGATCAATTTCCTGTTATTGAACCATGGCTAAACCAAATTATGCCAAAGAAAGACCCCGTCAAAATAGTAAGATGGTAAGTTCCTTTTTCTTTAACCTCTGCTTCCAACGTGCTTGTGTTGCTTTATGTACATGTTTCCTTTCTATGGGAGAATGGCCTAGGGCTTCTAAAAAGCATAAGTCCATTCTTGTAGATAGCAGTGCATGTTATAACCGAGCCAGAAATTTTGTGTGTGCTCATCGTGCTGTTGAAAGAATGCTTGTAAGGTGCTGGAGGAAAATGAGAATGCTTGGTGGCAAACATCTGACCTGTATGGTGACAACCTTGTTGTTGAAGGGAAGCATTCAGCTTTATGGCTTGAGAAAATCAAACTTGTTTAGATAGCTTCCAGGTTGTTTTTATTACTATTACTGATTTTGGATTCCCATATATTGTTTGGTTTACTTTTCTTAATAGAGGATAGGATATTTTTGCTGGCTTTTGTGAACAGCTGTTTGTGTGCAGAACTTTTGAGAGGGAATAGTGCATGAAGGCATTATTGAAGAAGAAAGGATCTGATATTTTTAAATTTTCCTGACAATTGACTGCCTTAATTATCCTCAGTTGCCAAGATGGACCAGAATATGTGACGCATTTAATTTACAACACAACTGATTTAGTTATTAAAGTTACATTTCTTTTATCTTGCAGTCATGAACATATAGAAATCCTCACTGTGAATGGAGAATTGCTGTTCTTCAGACAAAGAGAAGGGATTTTTTACCCAACGCTAAGGTTACTTCACAAATGTAAGTTCCCTGAGGATGGTGGTGGTGGGAGCAGAAGGGTGAGTGTGGGAATCAAGAAGACTTCTGTACAACTGAATATTTATACAGTGCACATGAATGTTACAGATCTTAAAGATGCATTATACATTTCCAGCTGCACTTACGTTGCTGTTTCAGGTATCTGTGTGGCTTGTTTTCTCCAAAATAAATGTAATTCTCTATGTTAAGTAATCTGACCTTTGTTTTTTAGGTATTGCATTGCAGAATTCTTGTGGGGCTTTGTGCAGAGTGATTTTCTGTTGGAGTCTACATTTCTTGTTGTTAATCCTGTTACCCTATCTTTGTTGTTTCAAGCCTTTTTTCCAACCCTTTAAATACTTGTAGGTTCTTACTGTAAAAGTAGTCTTTAACCAGCAGTTCAGTGATGCAATGGATGCTCATCTCCTTTTAGAACTTACACTGCGTGGTTTTTACTTCTTAAATTATAATCTTTTGCATTACTTTATTTCTGTTGTTGCTGTTCTGCTCCATTCTGTTGCTGCTTTGGATGGCTTTGGCTGTCCATAAAATGTTGATCTGGATTTGAAAACCATGTTTGAACAACCTTGTGCTGTTGCACAGACTTGGAGAATGCCTTTGAGAGCTGACATTCATGAACTTTGTCTGCCTTTGCATATTTGCATAGGTCCTCTTACTTTTGAAGTGTTTATTTCTAGAGTCACTTCAGTGATTGTTTTTTTTGGGGCAGCTTGGTATAGTTTTTATAAGGGCTGTGTGCACATGCAGGAAGGATAGGCCTGTGTTTGGTTCTGAGATTCCCAGCCTTTGGTTCTCAGAACAAAGATTTAATCAGGAAAAACAGTACTTGTGTTTTTTCAGGACAGTGCTGCCCAGCAGGAGTGCTGCTAATTATTTCTAAGCCTTCCTGCCCATGCAGCACATTATACACCTATTTCCCCCAGTATGATAATGAATGATTCATATTGTTATCTTAATGTATTAATTGTAATGCTGTATCTTTCCCCTCTTAGATCCATTTATTCTACCACATCAGCAGGTTGATAAAGGAGCCATTAAATTTGTACTAAGTGGAGCTAATATAATGTGTCCTGGCCTGACGTCTCCTGGAGCAAAACTTTACCCTGCTGCCGTTGATACTGTTGTTGTATCCTTCTTTAATTAGGAATTACTTCTTGCTAAGTTAAATTTGTGTGTGTATGTTCTCAGCTGGTCATAAACTTAATTGCTTTGGTGTTTAATTAGTTAGTTCATGGGATAACTAGTAAATCTGAGAAGATTTGTCAAGCTTTGAATGTTATTTGGAAAGATTCATGTTGTTCTTAATTCTTTTTTTTCCTGTTGTGATGTTTCAGAGCCACCCTGAAATTAACTATTCCTGCTGTGCTTGGTTAGATGGGAAATAGGAACTCCTGGTGTTAGGCAGAACTGCAGAAAGAGATGAGGTACAAACTAATTTTTTCCCCTGCCTCCTTAAAGCAATTATCTCTTTTAGTTATAGAAGAACATAGTTCATTTCTTAGGGAATGAATGCATTACTGAGAAAGGAACTAGATGATTATTGTGGTCCTTTTCAACTCGGGCCATTCTGTGGTTCTATGATCAGAGGGCTAGAGGACCTCTCCTATGAGGAAAGGTTGAGGGAACTGGGCATGTTTTGCTTGTAGAAGAGAAGGTTTCAGGGAGACCTCATTGTGGCCTTCCAGTAGCTGAAAGGAGTGTATTTTACAAGTTTGCATAGTGAATGGACAAGGGGGAATGGTCTTAAACTGAGACGGGGGAGGCTTAGGTTAGATATTAGGAGGAAGTTTTTCACACAGAGGGTGGTGAGGCACTGGAACAGGTTGCCCAAGGAGGCTGTGGATGCCCCATCCCTGCAGGCATTCAAGGCCAGGCTGGATGTGGCTCTGGGCAGCCTGGTCTGCTGGTTGGTGACCCTGCACATAGCAGGGGGTTGAAACTACATGATCATTGTGGTCCCACCATTCTATGATTCTAACAGATTCAGCATCAATGCCAACCTCTACAGCTGTTGTTGCTATTCAGATGTGATTGGCAAAGATGCACACTCAGTATTACATGCTGACAAGCTTTGAGAAGGATGTCTGATTCCATTATCTTCTAGATTTCTTCAGATATGCCTCAGTTCTTCTGTACAGTGTGATGTAAAATGGCCCCATGTGTAGCTGCAGCATTTTGCCAAAATGGGAGAGACTCACCTGTGTTAAATGTGAAGGGAGATCTGGAGAGTGGTGTTGGGAGATTGTTTTGTAATTGTTATTTGAAGTTCATAAATGTATGCTTTACATTCTGTGCAGTGTGATTCAGCTGTTAATTTTGCTTACCTTCAAGAGTTAGTGCCCTACAATTCCTGAAGGGACAAAAGTTCAACTAGGGAGTTTGATGCTTTTTTTTTTTTGTAAAGTGATTTCCTCCTATTTCTTGTTACTGCTTTTACTTTTTGGAAATAACTTGAAAAAACAAACGAAAAAACCCTGTTTTCCTTAGTGGTAATTTTTAGGCAATAATGGCAGAGGGAAAACAACATGCATTATGTGTGGGAGTCATGAAGATGTCAGCTGATGACATGTAAGTGTTGTAAAAAATGAAATATAACTTGTCCCATGTTGTAATTTCTATTTTAGTTTGTAATTTAAGCTCTACTGTCAAGGTTATTGAATCACTGTTGCAGTGTGTTTCTTTTATGTGTAGCATTTATTTAAGCTTTCATTTGTTTGATTAACATTAAGCTGGGAGAAGGAGGCAAGGAGTGTCTTTCCTAGTTATTTATTCACCAAATGGAGTCAAAATAGTTACTTTATGTGAATATAGATTTTAAGACGAACAACTTCAGTGGTGTCTCAATGTCAGTATTTCTTATGCTCTGATAGTACTTTCTCAGAGATTTTGCTGAACAAAGAAGTACCTCTGAGTATTTACTGCCTGTGCTGGGCAAGAGAATGGAATTTGGATCTGAGCAAGCTAAAATTGTTCAAGTGATTTTATTTATTTATTTTCATGTAATGACAGCAGAGGCTGAAGTCCTACTGGTACTTGGCTGACCAGCTGATCTCTCTTTTTTTTTTTTCTCTCTTTTTTTTTTTGCCTTGGACCCACACACAGCATTCCTGCCTAAAATCCTTGCTAGCTAAGCTTCTTGTGAGTTATAGAGATCTGATCGGGGGTAAACAACGAGTGAAATGAAAAGGAAGCATAAAACTGAAAAGAATGTAGATTATTCTTAGCATTCCAATAATCCAGAATTAGGAGATGAGACTTTTTTGTAATCTTAAATTCTGTGACATCCTGCAGCATGATGATCTTGTAGCCATCTTACGAAGCAGCCCAAGTAGATCTGAGCTGCTTTGGTTCCAGCCCCACCCAGCTGTAGTGTGGGTGACAAAGCTGGTTCTGATGAAAACAAATCACTCTTTGTGGGGATAATTCTCAGTTGGATTGTCATCTTCTCTACTGTGTCACTGTGTTGCTATAAGCAGTAAAGAAAGCAGAGGGGAAAGGTGGGGGTGTGTTCCAGTGAACAGGGGTAGAATGGCACTGCAGCAGCCTGGACCTGTACACGGTGCATAATTATTTCTCTGAATTATTTGTGGTGCCTTTGATGGACTCGAGGAAAAGGTTGAGAGGAGGAGTGTGTGACTACCTATGTCCCATCCTACATCTGCAGAGATGTGCTGTGGTCATTGAAAGCCTGGGTGTTCCTAATCCTGACTTCAAATTCACTTGAATATTGTATTCCTGTGGGAAGAACATAAACTGGAGAGGAAAAGGAAATGATGTTGCTCTGTGCAGTTGTGTGCTGATTTCTGTGATAGTGTCTAAAGCAGAAAATTGAGAAACAGTACTATTTAGATCATTTTACATTATAATACATGATGCATTATTGGAATTAACACAGAGGTATTTTCCTTCTTGATTCCCAGGGGATTTAAACTTTTCTGCCCTAGAATGATTTGTTTTGTCTTGTTCATTGTGATAAAAATAGATCTTTTTTCCATGGAGTTCATCAACTGGAAAGAAAGATGAGCACAAAACCAACGCAGATGTACAAAACCATCATTTTGAAGAGCTCACTTGACTCCCATTATATAGGAAAAATCTGTATATAAAATGCTGCAAGTCCTTGTCATGTTATTTTAGCATTTGTAGTCCTTTATTAGTAGGAGGTGTCTTGCAACTAAAAGCAAAGCGGCTCACCTGCATTTGATTCTGTGACACATTTGGAACCATGAGGTCAAATTCTTCATTCCTGACATGTTTCCTATTAGCCCATCCTGCATTTACAGGCACAGTTTGTACTTCCAATGTGGTGCTTTGTACTGCTCTAACATTAACCAAATACTTCTGTGCTTTTGTTCAACAGTGAGAAGGTCAACAAAGGGATTGGTATTGAAAATATCCACTATTTAAATGATGGTCTTTGGCATATGAAGACGTACAAGTGAAACAAAAGGAACTGTGTTACTCCAAGGGAATGCACTTAGGTTAAATGTGGACTGCTTTGTAATTCCTCGTTTTTAATGTGACTGAATGTACAAATTATTTTGTTCTGTGGCAATGCTAAATAAAACAAGTGAATGCAAAAGTGCTGATAGGCTACTATAGTTTTCTAGATTTCTTTTTATTACAGTTTTTAATTGGTTTGTCTTAAACCAAGTCTTCAGTCACTGAAGGTATCTGGTGGGAAAGATCCTGCATGGACTGTGAGTAGAATTTCAAACGAAAAGGAGGAAAAAGCCAAGGAATGTTTACATTTTAATGCTCCTCTAAAGCAGTAATGTAAAATGTATGTGAAATATAATTAGTACACTTTCTAAAACCTCCAAAACACTTCAGAATTTCTTGCTTCTGATTTACCATTTACCATCTCACTAGCCTATCTGTTTACTGAATGTGGAGAAATGTGTGTGTTTTTTTTTTTTTTAAACTTAATTTATTAACAGCATTAACTTTAGTATTTTACTTCAGGAACACTTCTTTTGAAGAAGCGCTTATCTATAGGATTTCAGAACATAAAGTCATATGTGGACTATAAATTCTTCTATCCTAGATCATAACTTAAGAATATATATAAGCTCAAATTTCAAGCTACCAACACTGATATCACTCTCCTTACAGTGGCATTTACAGCAGTGGTGGTCATACTCCAAATGGAGTACGTGCCAGTTGGTGCCTGATGCACTACTCCCTGTTTGCACCTTACTTTAGGAACAGAAACAAAATCACTGTTCAACAAAGGCACGGTAGAAAACGTAGCTCTAGAGCCTAGTGGAGCTTCAAAAGGGATCAAAGGGAGCTTCTGGACACTGCTACACAGGTACACCTGCACAGGTGGTTAGAGAGCACTGTTTGTCTGAGTAATCCACCACTTTGTTCAGTGACTGCATACCCAAAGCTGTGTCTATGGAAAAACACACTGTGCCATGGAATTATTTAATAAACTAAGAAAACATTAAGGTCTACTGTTCATAACTCTGTCTCTGGAAGTATTTATTAATATTTTAAGTCTCTTTTCTAACACTCATATTTTACTAATGGTAGGGCTTGGTTTTTGTGTGCAGTGCTCTGCACGTTTCATTTCTGTGACCTTTACAGCAGATAGTGGCAGAGGTGTTCTCAATCTAATTCTGAAATCAAATTACAACACAAGAGAGTAAAGTATTAACATGTGCTACTCTTAAATTACTTTTGTAAAATTATTTACAAGACTGCTTTTGAAAATGATAAGGTATATCTGAAAGTATACATGTAATACTACCATAATTTTTGTATCCTACACCACTATATTGCAGACAGAAGTTGAGTCACCTCAAACCTTTTCAGAGTAATAGTGGATATAATTACACATCTTAAAGGCTCTGCCACAACTTCACTAATTTGTTAGTGCTGTGGGGAATCAGTTTGTGCTTCAGTGGTTCCTTTGTGTATAAAATGAGCTAGTCAGTCCTGTGGCTTGCTTTTTCTTCCATCTTGTCCCTAAGTCTCCTCTGAAACAGCTGTGGTAGCTGCCTTGGTGCCATTCTTAATAAAAAATGTTGCTCAGAACAAAATACAGTTGCTACTAATCAGCTCTGGATTAGCTCTTTCATAACCTTTCCTTCCCCACTGCAGCTAAAGCTACGATCAAGTATTACAGATAGCACAGCTTTCTTCAACAGACTAACCTTATATCCTCTAAGCTCTTCTGTAGTAATGTAGTACCAGTGGAGCTCAAGGTGGTACCACTTTAAGCCTTTGTAATGTCTGGGTCAGGTAAGTGGATTGTAAATGGAGGAAACACACCAAAGTGCTGCTTATTGCCACTTAATTGTAACTGGTGGAAAAAAAGAACGTGATAAGGTGACATGTAAAGCTTGAGATTTCAAGTGCACATAAAAAAGTGTTTGAGAGTTCTGTACATTTTCTTTTTTTTGTGCACTTAATGTGTTTGGCATTGTGAACAAAGAAAGGCTGAGTGTTGATCTATCTGCAGCTTACTGTTCAGAAATGTCTGTAAATAGAGCTGTACTTCATGCTTGTATACATAGCTAACCAACTTTTTCTGTGTAAACACTATTAGCACCTCTGACACTGAAAACAAATAGGACTTTTATTCTAATATTCTTATTTAACAACTTTAAATGAACAATTACTTCTGTGCTAACAGGCTACTTGATCCTGTTAATATTTATGTAATGCTAATATTCAAATGTAGCTATCTTGTTCTTTTGTGAGATTAAGAAAGGCAGTCTAAAGGTTGCTTAATACTATTCTGCATTAACTTAATAGATTTCTTCTGTCAGTTGCTTCCTGCTAGCTTGTTTCTGAGTTAGGAGATTGTACATAAAGCAACAGGTGCACCTATGGGCTGCCTAACCAGTATAATTCAAGCTGCTCTGTGCTTCAGCATAAAGGAAATCACATAAAAGTTGGTCTTTCAGACTGAATCTGTAGTCAGTTTTATTGGTACATCTTAAAAAGATATAAAGACATTCCGGAAGTGTCTGGAAGAATTGAGAGAATCAAAATCTTGCAAAAATATATTTATAGCAGACTAAAGTTCTTTTGACTTTTCATTAATAAATACTAAGATATACAATGCCCTCCCCTCCCCCCCATAAACTTAATTTCCTTTTATCCCAAACAATTCCTTTATTGTTCATTCCAGCATTGTCAAAAAGCCAGAATCGTTCCTGTATAAAAGACTGTGAAAGGAAAACTTTCTCTTTTAAAATCAAGAGCTTTACCAAATCTTTGTGCAAAAAATGTACGCAAGTACGATCGGATAAGAAAACTGAGTGTCTGTACAAATGCGTGCCATGAGAACAGCTGCCTCCTTGGTCCCATCTCCTCTCTGAAGGAAGTCAGTCATTGTCTGAGCCTGCAGGGGGTAAGAAGACGAGCGCATCGCTGTAAGTGTGGCCGTAGGGCCGTAGCCTGTAAACGCCGTACATCATCACATGCATGTGGTTGGGAGACAGCCCATTGAAAGTGATGGCCATATCTGAGCAGCAGCCGTCCACCACCTGCTCAGGCCGACTAGCCATTGCCTCTTTAATGAGAGCGTTGACTGATTTGGTGTTAAAAACATCCTTTCCTTCAGAGTCCTCTGCATTTTCAGCAATCACTCCGGTATACTTCAGGCATACTGCTAGTTGTTTATCCTCAGAAAGCTTCCAAATCATTCCGCCTTGCTCTGGACATTTGTCAGAGTCTTCAAAAACGCGTGAGAGTCGTCTTAGTGATTCAATGCTTAAGACAATTCCTCCCTCACCATCTACGTATTCCAGGTCACCAGATTTCATAGTGTGGCCTATATAAAAAGGCTGTGCAGGGTCTTTCTTCAGTAAGAAATACTTGAGATTTTCAATAATAGCAAATGTTGTTGGATAGGCGAGGAAGAACCAATTGAATTCATCTTTATAACGCTCATAGGTTATCTTGTAAGCTTTTCTCATCATTGTCCACATATCATTTGTGTTGAGGACTACAGCATTGAACACTTTAACATTCTCAGAGCTGTAGAACTCTGCCTTGTCGCAGTGCTTGCTCCACGTCTCTCTCACTGCAGCCCAGTGCCCGATGTCTTTGGGTTTCACGAGGACGATGCAGTAAACGCGGATGCTCTGGCTGAGCTCCAGTCGTTCATCTTCTGAAAGATTTAACACTTCTTCTTTATTGGGAGCCTGAATGTGATGGTGCTCGTGATGACGTGCTCTGGTTCCATGGCCGATCTTAACGTGTCCAAGAAGCGTGACCACTACGCAGAAGATTCCTCCCAGCAGCACGCCCTTCATGAATGAACTGCTTTCGGAAAGCATTGTTCCTGGAAAGGAGACGCGCTGTAGGCACCGATAAGGGATAAGCGCACCCCACCGTTTCCGTGCTAAGCGTGGCGGCAGACAACGCGCCCGCCGCACCTCGCGCTCTCACCCGCGGTCCCACTGGGCTGCCGGGCCGGGCCGAGCCCTGCCGCCCTCAGCCGCCGCGGCCGTGCCCGCTCCCGTTCTCTCCCGCGCCGCCGGTAACAGGGCGAGGCCCGACTTCGCCGCCACTCACCGGCGCCACCGCTGCCGCCCGTGCCAGGACACCGGCACGCGCCGCGCCCCGCCAGTTCCGGTTCCCCTTCCGGCTCCAGTTCCGGTTTCCGGCGGAAGTGCCGTGCGGCTCTTCCGCTCCCGGCTCTCCTCGCGGCGGTCACTGGGCGGCGTCGCCATCTCGTGGGGTAAAGCGGGGGGACGGAGCGGGTGAGAACAGCGGTGGCGCCGTTCCCTCGCGCGCTGCCGCTTCGTTCCCCCGCTCTCACCGCGCCGAACTGCCGGGCCCGCGTCTGTCCTTCATGTGGCAGCAGTGGTGCTGCACGCGTCGTTCGGTTTGGGAGGGCCTCATTAAAATGAAGGCGAGATCTGCCCTGATGTTTTGTCCCGGCGCATTTCGGAAATCTGCCGCTCTTCTACACGTGTAGCCGTGATGAAGCCGGCAGGTATCACAGAATCATAGAATGGCCTGGGTTGAAAAGGGCCACAATGATCACGTAGTTCCAACCCCCTGCTGTGTGCAGGGTCGCCAACCAGCAGACCAGGCTGCCCAGAGCCACATCCAGCCTGGCCTTGAATGCCTGCAGGGATGGGGCATCCACAGCCTCCTTGGGCAACCTGTTCCAGTGTGGAGGAGTGCGTGCTGCTGAGGGCACCCCGTGACTTGCTGGGCGTCTTTGGGTGACTGGCAGTGAATCGGTGGGACTTCGTGCTGAGCTGAGCTGTGCTGGTTTCTCTGGGCACTGCCAGGCGTTGGGCACGATGTGCGCCTGGTGGGTGAGGTTTCTGACTGGATTTTGTAACTAGGCTTGTGATTAAAGAAACCTGTTATCTAAGCATGTCTGCCAGAATGAGCCATGCTTCTCAATCTACAATTAGGCACACAAATGAATTTGACCTAATTTTAACTTGCTTGCAGGTTTTACTGAATTTGACATGTTCCTGTGTACTGATGTGGGCCCAGCTTATGACCTCTCTAAACTTTTGGTAGTCTTCATGGGTGCTTGGTCTGATTCTCCCTTTGCATAGATAACAGTTTGCAGTTTTGTATTTTGACAGGCCACATCTGGGTTTTTCTTACCAAAGTAGAGATCTTTGTGGATCAAAAATCCAGAAATGTCGTCAGAGGTTCCATGGGGAGATGTTACCCAAGTACCAACAAACTTCCAAATTGACAGCTTCTTTGCAGTGCTTCTCCAGTTGTAAACAACCTCCTTCATAATATAATCACAGGGATTTTGATGTGGCACTATAGGGATGTTTTACTCCTTGTCTTATAGCATGCAGTCACAGCAGTTAACCTGAGAGTGCTATTTTTGCACTTTGCCAGATCTCCAAAAACTTTGATTTTAAACTCCTGGAGCCAAATGAGAACAGTTAATACATTCTGGATGATTATTTGCTTGTGAACATGAGACTTCATTTTCAATTGTAGGCTTTTTAGGGTTAGCATTTTCCATTAGTAAAATGACTGTTAATCTGCTAGAAAAGGTAGCTAGAAAAGAGGTTACAATTACAGAAAGGTTAAGGTATGCAGTCAGGGTGAAGTGCATCTATTTACTGAATTGCTCATTGAACATTTTACCTTTGAGCAACACAGGGTCACTCAGGTACATCTTGTCTGCCTGCACTGACTCGGCCAAGGATGATGGAAACAAGCATGTCATTATCTGCAGGGTGGGCATTATTTGCAGGTTGGCATTATCTGCAAGCTGGGCATTATCTGCATGTTGGCATTTGCTGCAGGGTTGGCATTATCTGCAGGCTAGGCAGCCCAGTGCTGCTGCAGACAGAAACATAGCCCTGAAAGCTCAAGAGCTGATGCAGAAATACATGAACTCTTTGATTACCTGGTAGTATTTTCCCACTGTTCATGAATATGTTTATTTCTGGAGTTTTGTGATGTGTGGGCTTTTAAACAGCTGAGCCCTAAAGCTTATCGGAAGCATCAGCTATGGCCTAAAATCTTGAAAGAAAATTTTGCTTAGCTGAAAAGGGAGATTTGATGTCAATATGTGGTGTGATTTTTTTCTCTCCTTTTGTTTGTGTGAAATACAGTGTTTTTCAGGCAAGGTGCTGCTAAATTTAAATCATAGAGCACTGGGAGGAAAGCTCTGCTAAACACCTAGATGATGTCTTTGAACTGATTAATTTGTTCTCAGATTACTGGGGCAAAATGTCTTTGAGATACCTGAGAGTCACTCATAGGGGTTCCAAGACACAGGTCCCACAGCCTGAAGGCAGAGTGTGAGGGAGGCATAGTAGCTGCACAAGCCTCCTGTGGCTCCTTCCAGCTTCTTGCAGTCTGAAACCCTCTGCTTTCCCAGGGCACTCAGGCACTTCCTTTCAAAGCACTGGTCCTTTTCGCGCTTTGTGTCCTCAACAGCTGTAGTTGTTTAGGAGAATGTGGTAGTGGAGAGAGATTTAATAGGGCCTGGGATTTACAGTGACGCATTCTATATTCACTTTGTCTTTGATGAAGAAGAGAAAGCAAAAGGAGCAGCCATACAGCTGCTCCAGGGCTGGGCAGAGCTCAGAGGAGACCCCCAGAGCATAACCCTGTGTGTGCTTTGGAATGAAGAAGGCTCCTCCGGGAAATGTGTGTCTTAAACGTCAGAAGCGTGTAGTGGAAGATCTCTGAGCCCACCTTGTGGAGACTTTTGAAAGCTCACAAGATGGCAGTGTCAGACCCAGACGTTAGTTATTGTTTGTAAATGTTCATTTTATGGCCAAAAGCAAGAATAAAAACTCTTATTCACTGTTCTGTGGTTCTAGAGAAGCTTTTGTACTCACACATTCTCTACTTGTACCCTCCAAGGTGTTTCCACTGTTTCGGAAGTTTTTTATGAGCTTGAAAGGTGGAAGACCAGGCTCTGTACTGGCATCAGGAGCTCTTTGGCACAGCTTCAGCATTAGGTAATGATGCTACCATTTAGCATCTTCAAATGGCTGCACTAGCAGTATCTAGGTGGTGCTCACACTCCAATCAATAGAAGATAGCCCTGTTTCTATCAGTAGAAGTCCAAAAGGTGCCATTGAGAGGGAGATGTGCAAAACCAGAGGCAAATGCTCATATCCCTTATGCTCAGTGTGAACATAAAGATCCTTAGACTGTATCCGTGGTGGCTCTTTACATGGAAACAGCATCTCAGCCCTTTTATTTAACAACTGCCCCCAACCATGCTATCACCTTGTGCAAGAAATTTTAGTCCATGGAGGAGTATGACATCACACATGGGTACTGTGACCTCACCAAACACGTCTCCCACATCCCCGAACCTTTGGGCAGGGTTGGGAGAACAGTCTCTCCTGCTGTAAGAGAGCAGAAAGTTCAAGACTGTCTCATGAAACTGTGTGTACAAGTCTGATGACACGGATAAGGGTCCTGAAGGAACTGGCTGATGTGGCTGTCAGGTCTGGTGACTGGAGAAAGAGAAATATCACTCCCATTTTTAAGAAAGTGAGAAAAGAAGACCTGGGGAGCTGCAGGTGAGCTTGGAAAGATCACAGAGCAGATCCTCATGGAAGAGATGTTATGGCACATGTGAGGTGGGGAGGTGGTGCAAGACAGCCAGTACAGCTTCACCAACGGCAGATTGTGCCTGACTAATCTCGTGGCCTTCTGTGATGGAGTGACAGTATCAGAAGACAAAGGAAGGGCAGCTGATGTTTTCTACCCAGACTTGTGCAAGGCCCTTGGTGTGGTGCTGTACCACATTCTTATATCTAAATTGGAGAGAGATGGATTTGAAGGCGATCGTTTGGATGTTTGCAGCCAGAGGTTGTGGTCAGCAATGCTGTGTCCAGGTGGAGGCCAGTGATGAGTGGTGTCCTTTAGGGGGTCTGTCTTGGGACCAATGCTCTTCAACATCTTTATCAGTGGCATGTGAGTTCAGTGCATCCTCAACAAATTTACTGATGACACTATGCTGAGCAGTGCAGTTGACACAAGAAGGAAGGGATGCCATCCAGAGGAACCTAGACAGGCTTGAAAAGTGGTCCCATGAAAATCTAATGAGGTTCAAAAAAGTCAAATGCAAAATGTTGCACTTGAGTCAGGGCAATCTCAGGCACACGTACAGATGGGAAGAACTCCTTGAGAACATCCCTGCAGAGAAGGCCTTGAGCATCCTGGTGTGTGTAAAGCTGGACATGAGCCAGCAATGTGCAGCCCAGAAGGCCAACAGTGACCTGGGCTGCATCAACAGAGGGCTGGCAGTGGGCAGGGAGGGGATTGTCCCCATCTGCTCTGCCCTCGTGAGGCCCCACCTGGAGTACTGTGACCAGGCCTGGGGTCCCCAGCACAAGGAGGATGTGGGGCTGTTGGAACATGTCCAGAGAAGGCCACAAAGCTGCTCTTAGGGCTGGAGCACCTCTGCTATGAAGACAGGCTGAGGGAGCTGGGCTTGTTCAGACTGGAGATAAGAGAGCTTTGGGGAGACCTCATTGTGACCTTTCAGTATTTGAGCTTATAGGCAGGAGCAGGACTGACATTTTACATGGTCAAATAGTGATAGGACAGAGGGGAATGATTTTAAACTAAAAGAGGAAAAATTTAGATTAGATGTTAGAAAGAACTTCACTCAGAGGGTGGTGAGGTCCTGGCACTGCTGCCCAGAGAAGCTGAGGGTGCCCCAGTCCTGGAGGTGTTCAAAGACGCTGGATGGGGCCCTTGACAACCTGACTGGATACCTGATTTAGTGGTTGGCAACCCTGCCCCCAGGAGTTGGAATTAGATGATCTTTATATCCCTTCCAACCCACTCCATTCTATGATTCTATGAAAATATGACCACTGTTAATGCAGATGGTCTAGAAGCCAAAACAAAGTTTAGTTTTATACCATATGCCAAAATGCTGATCCTCTGGATGCTCCAACAGCTCCGTGTCTCTCCTGTGCTGAGCACTCTCCATCTGGATGCAGCGCTCCAGCTGAGGTCTCACAGCACAGAGCAGAAGGGCAGATCCCCTCCTCACCCTGCTGGCTGTGCTGCTTTGGATGCACCCAGGATCCAGTTGGCTTTCTGGGCTGCGAGGACACAGTGCTGGCTCATACCCATCTACCAGTATCCCTAGGTCCTTCTCAGCAGGGCTGTGCTCCA